TTTGCACCCTCTTTGGAAGAGGGAGGCAGGCACAGTCATTTGTGCAGTTTGTGTACTGAGTGATGGGACCTGACAACCTACCTGCAGGTAGGTTGGGACTATTTGTGCTGACGCACTTGTCAACCAGGGTAGAATCTGTCCAACCAGCTCATTATCCAATATGAGCCCAGATTGCAGGGGGTAGGACTAGATCAGGGTTTCCCAAATTTGGGTCTCCAGCTGTTTTTGGACTACAACTCCCATCATCCATAGCTAGCAGGACCAGTGGTCAGGGATGATGGGCATTGTAGTCCGAAAACAGCTGGAGATCCAAGTTTGGGAAACCCTAGACTAGATGGTCCTCATGGTCCCTCCCAACTCTATGGTTCTAGGATTCTATGCTTCCCTGGTTGCTAGGGAGATCACACTAATAGGGAGCAGGGCCTGGTTGAGGGAGCAATCCCTCCTCTGCTGGGACATTAGGGCTGGGAGGTCTTTTTCCATCCACTCAGCCACTCCCTACTGCAAAGCTCAGCACTCCCAGATATTATCCAGCTGTTCTCCAGCATCCAGCACTCTCATCCCATTCCTCCTGCTCCATCACCCCCCTTTTGGAATACTTTACAGTGGTGCCCCGCAAGACGAATGCCTCGCAAGACGAAAAACCCGCTAGACGAAAGGGTTTTCTGTTTTTCGATGCGCATCGCAGGATGAATTTCCCTATGGGCTTGCTTCGCAAGACGAAAATGTCTTGCGAGTCTTGAGATTTTTTTCGCTCCCCCCCCCCTTTTTCTAAGCCGCTAAGCCGCTAATAGCCTTTTAGCCGCTAAGCCGCTAAGCCTTTAATAGCCGCTAAACCGCTAATAGCGCTAATCCGCTAATAGGGTTGCTTCGCAAGACGAAAAAACCGCTAGACGAAGAGACTCGCGGAACGGATTAATTTCGTCTTGCGAGGCACCACTGTATATTGAGATGTATTTGTTGGGCTATACAAGATGAAAATTGATAAAAGAATATTTAAAAGAAAAGTGATGGTGTATTGTTGGTTGTACACACAGACATTCAATTAACAGTCAGGCGTAAGGAGTGTGCGTTTGCTACAATTACACCCCTTCAATACCTTTAGGAATTGTTCTAAGTCAAACGTCAAAACATTTAGGATCTGTCCAGGAGCACAGAACGATTTGGAGTTCTGCCTTCTCGCAAATGCCTAGAAGCTTCTGAATGGTGGCAGCCTTAATGAGATTTAGAGGAATTAGAAAAGACCTGACTAAGCGAGATGTAAGAAGAGATTAAAGATAGCTTTAAATAAAAACAAAAATCTGCTGCTGCTATCCTTCTCCAGTTCATACAAGATTACAAGCTTCATGATGTGTGCATGGCAGGTGGAGAAGCATTTAATGTTAATTTTTTTTGCAGAGATGTTGACTAGTCCTGGAAGTTTTAATTTCCTCTTGTCCTGGACTCCTCTGCCAAAGGCATGTGGATGTTATATTCAGAGTAACACAAACACTGACGCTCATAGCTCACACTCCTGTGAGGGGGTGCCACTGATCACCACATTTCCTTCCCCACTACGGCTGATACATGTGTTTGTGTATGCACGCATATGCTCTACCAGGTGCTGCTGCTGCTGCTGTGGGAAAGAATGATGTGTTCAGTGAAATCACATGTGAATTGGAGACTCATTCATTACAGAGGCAATATGAGAGTAAACTACAAAGAATTGGCTTTTCAGAGGCTACTACTGTGACTCCAAGTAGGAGTCACATCCAAAGGGATAAGTACCCCAATCTTACATTGAGTCAGGTGCTTCAAAAGAAAGATGTACAGCAGTGGTTTTCAAGCAGAGTGCCATGGCACCCTGGGGTGCCTTGAATGATGGCCACGGGTGCCATGAACAACACTGACCTCTGTCCCTCTTCCCTTCCCTCCTCTGATGCCCTTTCGTGTCTCTGCCTCCCAAAGGCTTGCACAGCTGTTTGTTGCAGCAGCCCTGGCTACAAGCTCCTCAAGCGAACAATGCCTCTGGGGCTGGCCAGGGGGTGCTGGTTGCCAGGAGCTGAGGTGGCATCAAAGTAAGCAAGCAAGCAAGCGGGCATGGACTTGTCCGCAAGCCAGTCCGCCAACCCTATAAAGTTTCTGAGTCCAGCTCTGTTCCAAGAGAACTCAAGAGTGATGATATCTTGTTTTTTAAAAGCCAAATAACAATGATAGAAAAACAAAATATAAAACAGCACTAACTTACAGGCACCTTGGAGAATAAGTCTTTAGCTGCTGGTGGAAGCTAAACAAGGTATGGGCTGGCCTCTGTTTCCTGGATAGAGTGTCCCAAAGGGTGGTTGAACCCGTGGGGTCAAGCCATCATTTTCTGATGGATAATTTAGAAGGATTGGGTACCACATCACTTTCGCTGCGTGTGTGTGCCAGTATCCATACTCAGTAGAGGTACATCTCAACGCAGCTCCTTCCTTGGAAGCGTCTTCAGGGTTGAAGGTACACACAGTAGGCCATAAACACTCATGGATGCCTTAAAGATTCAGTCAAGTGTAGGGATTTACTTGACGGACATACAGTGGTACCTCAGGTTACATACGCTTCAGGTTACATATGCTTCAGGTCACACACTCCGCTAACCCAGAAATAGTGCTTCAGGATAAGAACAGAAATTGGGCTCCAGTGGCACGGCGGCAGAAGGAGGCCCCATTAGCTAAAGTGGTGCTTCAGGTTAAGAACAGTTTCAGGTTAAGTACAGACCTCCGGAACGAATTAAGTACTTAACCTGAGGTACCACTGTAATAGCATATTGGTAGCAAATATATACAGACATTCACCACTGCCATGGTCAAGGCAGGCTTAGAGCCTAACAAAGTCCAAGAGTCTCTCTGCTTCTCACACCACAAGACACAAGCAAGAGACTCACAACAAGTTACAACAAGTTACACAGAACCATTGTTATCAGTACTTCCTGTCATACTGCGCATGTCCAAAGAACAGTTCCCACAGAAAATGTCCTTGCACAGACAAAACAATCAGCCTTCTGCTTCTTTTTGAAACTTCTTCTCTGTTTCTAGAAGAAACGATGAGAGAATATCCAACAGAACCAAGTGGGGAAAGTCCTATTTTGTATCCCTACTGTTCTGTGCCCTTATTGACCATTATGGGGTGAAGCACAAATCGGAGCTGATATGATACCCAGAGATGGATGATAGCTGTCACTTGAGACCGTCCTAAGAACCTTAGTCTTTCACAGTGCCCATGTGCAATATTCATATTATTAATATTTCTAAACTGATGCTAGGTTGTTATCATTTTCTTGATGGACACTATGGTTTGTAGCCAATGGTAATCCTGCTTAGAGTAGACTCAATGAAACTAATGGACAATTAATGAAATGGTTATTAATTTCAGTGGGTCTGCTCCGAGTAGGAATAGCACTGGTAAAAATCCTCTGTGTCCCTGAAAATTGTATGGCATACAGAAAACTGCAGGTGGAGTTCTCTTTCCTACTCCCGATGGGAAAACACCTGAACCTGATGAATTTCTGCCTGACACAGCTGCTAGACGTACAGAGTGCCTGGGGGTGGGGGGGGTGAGTGACAGCTATAAATAAAGGTGCTTATCATTTTTTTCTAGCTCAAAATCTCAATCAACAATGGGGTCAAATATGTTTTACTAGGTGTTTGTGTTCTGCCCTTGGAATGTTGCTACTTACTGTATTTTTCCGTGTATACGACTAGGGTTTTCTTTTAACGAAAAAATTAGGTTTAAAATTGGGGCTCGTCTTATACACGGGTCGTGCTGAGGGGTGTTTTCTTAATTTGCAGACCCCCAAAATAGGGGGTGTCTTATACATGGGGGCATCTTATACACGGAAAAATACGGTACATTGCATATTTTGAAAGTACGTACTGCACTTCAAAAGGGTAATTTGTTCCCAGCTTCATTTTGGATTTTCATTATGGCTATGGCTGCTAGAGTGAGGCGATTTAAGGGATTGCCTTCATTACACAGAACAGCAGATTACTTTTCCAAGGTGAGCACACGCAGGCGCTGTAATACCATCTTATTGCAACTGTATTGCTGGCATCCTCTTCACTAGAGTTAATTTATTCCCTCCTTCCCCTCCTCTTCGTTTTGTTCTAGATATACACTTTCCTTAGAAAGCGAAGAATTTCATTACCATTCAGGATTTACTGCAGCACATGGAATGAATAGAATGAGGTTGGTATGTGTTATTTACATTGCTCAGTTTTGTTTAAAAGCCACAAATGAAAGTGGTGGTGGGTTATTAGTAGATGTAAGTTTGCCTGGGAATGCTACATGGAATTCAAGGAGTGGGCAATATTGAAATGCCGTTTTGCTGAAGTTGGCAACTTCCTGGAAGGAACACATGCAAACTATGCATTACAAAATATGAAACAATGTGCGTTTATTTTGCAATGTATCGTGCAAAAAAAGAAAAAAGAAGAAGCCCTCTCTGAGGCTGTTGATCATTGTGAAGCAATCACTGTGTCTATATTGTAAGAAATTGCTGTTTTCAAGATGCATAATGATTAGTTGTAGAGAAACCAGATCAGTGATCAAATTGGTTTGATCCAAGTAAATATAAGCACAGTTTTCAACATGGGGCTTAATCCCCATTAAGGGTGTTACTCCTAATTGTCTACATCCCCCTGATTTCAGGGGTTGAGGGAGAGTTAAGCATGTATAGCAAAACTATAGCAATCAATAGGATTTATGTGTGCTTAGATTTGGGTGGATCATACGCATAAGTCCCTTTTCTTTCTATTTTCTGATTATTTTTCTGTTATTCACTCTAAATAAAACCAGTCATGATGCAGCCTCACAAACTCTTTTAAATCCCATTGGTTTTAAGGGGAGGGTGTTTGAAATCAATGAGACATGGTTTCTGTTCTCTGGCTCATGCCTATGCAGATTATTATCAAGCTTTGTTTTAATGTCTGAATTTCATTCTTGGATCCATTTTGCAGTCCCCTCCCAGATAATACCTTTCAATTATGACCACAAAGACCAAAGAGGTGATCAAAACCCATCACTCACATTCAGACGTTCACACCTTGCCTATCCAGGGTGAAAACGAAAGTACGAAAGGAGTGGGAAATCGTGAAAGCAGGTGAGTAGTGTGAACCAGTTGACCGGTTTTTAATTTCTTCATGGAGGATCTGCATGTGAATGACCTGCCTTCTTAAGTCCTTCGCTAATATTGCTATCACATTTTACTGTCGCAATTTAGTTAAATGTGTACTTACCTATAAGCAATGCAGTCCAAAACATATTTAGCCACTAAGTCCCATTATGTTCAGTGAAATATACTTCCTAGTGTGTTTAGGATTGCAGCCTTTTTAACATGGGGCACAATCCAGCAATTGAAATTAGGAGGGCTTATAATGGTTTAAAGTCAGCTGAACTTTGTTTTTTACTTGGCTAGGCCATGCCATGCCACCTTATATATTAAACATCCTTTAATTGTAACTGTATGATTGCTGAAAACGCTCTTTAGTTTTGTGACTCTTCTTGTCTTGTTGACACAACACCAATAAGAACTTGGGAAACTGCCTATACGGAGTACATCTTCCTCAGATGTATACTTACTTGCAGAGAGGATGCGGGTGGCGCTGTGGTCTAAACCACAGATTTGCTGATGAGAAGGTCGGCGGTTCGAATCCCCACGACGGGGTGAGCTCCCATTGTTCGGTCCCAGCTCCTGCCAACCTACGTAGCAGTTCAAAAGCATGCCAGTGCGAGTAGATAAATTGGTACCACTGTGGTGGGAAGGTAAATGGCGTTTCCATGCGCTCTGGTTTCCGTCACAGTGTCCCGTTGCTCCAGAAGCAGTTTAGTCATGCTGGCCACATGACCCAGAAAGTTGTCTGTGGACAAACGCCGGCTCCCTCAGCCTGAAAGCGAGAGGAACACCACAACCCCACATTCGTATTTGACTGGACTTAACCATCCAGGGGTCCTTTACCTTTTTTACCTTACTAGCAGAGGCTTTCCAGGATTCCAGGACAAAGTCTCCCCCAGGTTTATCTGGAGAGACTGGGGGCTGAACCTGCTTGTTTGTTTGCTTACTTATTTTATTTATATCCCACCCCAAGGAGCTCAAGGTGGCAGTACATAGGTTTCATCCCCCCCATTTCACTTTTAATTTGTATACCACCTTTCTGTATTACTATGCATAAGGCAGTTTACAGCAACAAAATATGCAACACACACCTTATAATAATCTGATCCAATACAAAAAGTCATAATACAATGTACCTTTAAAATGGAATGACTTAAATCAAGTAAAGCAACAATCTATGAGAATATAGTAGTACACAATAAATTTAACTCTCCAAACATCAGCAAATAACAATTAAGCAGAAATTCACTCTTAGCAATGACAATTTAAATAATTACTAAACTATGATCGATAAAAGTAACTGCAAGTCACAATGCATAAAATACCTCAGAACATACAAAACCCTGTAAAAGGGTCTGTAATGAGTATGGGTTGCTCGTGCGTAAGTTGCCGCCTCTCCAGGCTTTGTTGCCTTGCTAAACCTTTCAGTCTGGGCAGCCCTTCACTTCGTGGCTGCCTCAGTCGCTAGCAGAATCCGTCAGTGGGCGTTTCTTAAATCTTTTCCAACATAAAAGTTGTTTGACACCCAGTCTCCTCCTACTCTCTCTGCGCGGAAGTCTTCTGCGCAGGGTGGGCGTGGTTAGCGGGGGACCAGTGCGCTCCCCGCTGGTGTCCGGTGAATAGTCCTGGAGCCCTATCGCCGATTCCCCAATCAGCCCCTCCTTATCCCTGGTGTAGCGCTGATTTGCTTCCCCATCTGCAGAGCTGCCTCTCTCCCTGCTGGGCCCTTCTCCAGCATCATTTGAGAGCCTTCCCTCCGCCTCTAGCTCCGATGTCAGTTCCCTGACAGGGTCAAATTGAGAAACGAAGACACACCATTTATAAAACTATTTTTTCAAATCCCTAAACTCCTCCCCATTTTATCCCCACAACAACCTTGTGAGGTAGGCTAGGCTGAGAGGCAGTGACTGGCCCAATGTCACTAAGTGAGCTTTATGGCAGAATGGGGATTTGAACCCTGGCTTTCCAGGTCTTAGTCCGATGCTCTAACCACTACACCACACTGCAATCTACTGCATGCAATCGGGTGTTCTGTTACTGAGCTAAGTCCCTTCCCCAATCCAACACTGAGAAGGATTGCCTAGAAGCACCCTGTTGCAAAAGGCGTGCCGAGATATCATAAATGGGTTGTTGCCATCAGGCTTTTTGTAATTGGATTCCCTCCAGAAATGGAAAGTCTGGGTTAAACTTGGGGGGCGGGACGAATATATGCTAGCATTGAGATAGCCGCATTGTATGAATGCTGCAAAAAAACTTCCATGCACAAGGAGCACTGACCCCACCATAAACATCTACCTACATCCAATTATGTAGATTGAAAATTCCCTTGAAAACAATACAGTTTCCATCCCATCGAAGTAAATGGCAAATTTTGGTTGATTTTACTGGATTTGGATAGACCTGCAAAGCGTATAGCTTTTCATAAACAAATGACCTTCGCTTTTTCGCATAGCTGCGTAGATGGAAGGCGTTTTTAATTTTTATTCCAGTGCAGAAAGCTAGTTGTTAAAAACAGCTGAGACCTTGCTGCCATCTGCAGGACAGCTGGATAAATGCTGCTGACTGCTGCTTTATAAAGTACAGTGGTACCTCGGGTTAAGTACTTAATTCGTTCCAGAGGTCCTTTCTTAACCTGAAACTGTTCTTAACCTGAAGCACCACTTTAGCTAATGGGGCCTCCTGCTGCCGCTGTGCCTCAGGAGCACGATTTCTGTTCTCATCCTGAAGCAAAGTTCTTAACCTGAAGCATTATTTCTGGGTTAGCGGAGTCTGTAACCTGAAGCGTATGTAACCTGAAGCGTATATAACCTGAGGTACCACTGTACAGTATAATTTGCCATAGGTTGAAACAGACCATTGGGAGAACCCTATACATGACACCTGTCTACAGAAGGAGCAAATCAGTCCTGAGGGAGGAATAGCATTTGTATTTACAGGGTTCTGCCTCGCCCATTTGCTTCAGCCATTATTGCTGGTTACTATAGCGGAACTCATCAGAGTTTAACAAGAAATGTCTTTACTTTTGAATTATGGTGTTGGAGGAGACTCTTGAGAGTCCCATGGACTGCAAGAAGATCAAACCTATCCATTCTGAAGGAAATCAGCCCTGAGTGCTCACTGGAAGGACAGATCCTGAAGCTGAGGCTGCAATACTTTGGCCACATCATGAGCAGAGAAGACTCCTGGAAAAGACCCTGATGTTGGGAAAGATGGAGGGCACAAGGAGAAGGGGATGACAGAGGACGAGATGGTTGGACAGTGTTCTCGAAGCTACCAGCATGAGTTTGACCAACTGTGGGAGGCAGTGGAAGACAGGAGTACCTGGCGTGCTCTAGTCCATGGGGTCACGAAGAGTCGGACACGACTAAACGACTAAACAACAACAACAAATAGTGGAACTCAGTTTAACAAGAAATGTCTTTACTAGGCCAAGAGAATGCCAAGTGAAACATCTGGGGACTGATCTAGGGAATGGCTAAATTTTATTTTATGTGGGGAAATTGGCCATCGTTGAGTATAAACTGAAACCTGCAAGGCAACTAGGCGAGCCTGATAGTTTTGTTGTTTCTTCCTACATTCCACCCATCCAAAAAATAAATGTTACTTTTTAATATGGTTGCAGCAGTAAATCTCCAATATGCCAACAACACACCTATTCCCCACCCTCCCGTTACAATAATAATGGCAATATCAGTTTTTAAAATGTATTCCACAATTGATTGTAAAGGTGTTTCTTTGGTACAAAGAAACGGAGGGAAAGGTAAGAGAATTAAATATGCACTGCGATATGTAATAAGACTTTTCTGAAGGGATGGTTCTACTTTTATTGTAAAAGTCATATAATTTCCATCAATCTTTCAGCAAATCTGATGGCGAAAAGGAAAAAGAAAAGGACACAGTGTCCAAGGAAAATAAGGACAGCCAAGAGAGAAAGAAAGATAAAGCTGAGAAGAAAAATAATGAAGAGGAGTAAGTGTTTTTCAGGGCTGAAAATACCTTATAATTTTCACTTGGCTGGGCCTCACAGTGCACTAGTGACATTACTATATAGCACGGGTAGCCAATAGGGTGCCCTCCAGATGCTATGGACTACAACGCCCATCATCCATGACTGTTGGTCATACTGGTTGGAACTGATGAGACTTGTAGTTCACAACATCTGGAAGGAAATGTGTCAGCTCCCCTTGCTATCCAGGAACATGTAGGCTAGGTCGATGGCAGGCTTATGGGCTACCATAGGAAGTTACCATACTATTTTCACTTGACCCTGTTGCCTCTTTAGCTTCCAGCACCTCCTCCTCCCAGTCTGCTCCCTCTTCTCCCTCTGACAACGCATTGTTGTCCCACCACCAATCCCCTGGCTCTGCGCCTGCTTTCTCTGGGGGTTCACCAGCTGGTGCCCCCTCACCATTCCTCTGCATCCAGCCAGCCCAAGACATTTGCCCACTAAAGAATCTGACCGTTGGTCTGAAAAAGATTTGCCACCCCTGATTTGGAGAAAGCATGATGATCCATCCAAAGTTAAGTACTTTTTAATAGTGTAGTTATGCCCGTCTACTCAGGAGTAAGTCCGATTAGATTTGATGGCATTTACTCTCAGAGAAGTGTGTACTAGACTGCAGCATATGTTTCAGTAAACTCCTTAAAATCAATAGGAAAATGCTGCTGGCTTTCATTTATTATGGCTGTTATGTATCGCTTGCTTCTTAATATATTAATTTCCTTCTGCTTGCTGTTTAGGGAGAAGAAAGAGGTATTTGTTATTGATCCCTCGGGAAACTTGTATTACAACTGGCTGTTTTGCATCACTCTGCCTGTCATGTACAATTGGATAATGATCATTGCTAGGTATTTTAAAACGACACAGCGCTGCAGCGTATTGATTTATATTAGGTATTTTGTTTTATCTTAAACGGATAAATGAAAGGAAGCAAGACCCTTTCAACAGTAAAACAATTCTGCAGTGTCTAAAGGGGAAACCCATTAGATGGTTCAGCAGCTAACTAATGTGCTTGGCTAATCTGAGCTGTGAACAAGGAAGACCTCAGCTCAAACTGTTACATCCGACTTGAAACTTAGGCAGGCCACAATAAACATGAGTGCCATTTCTCCCCTCACTTATTGCAGTGTGGAGAAAGCAGTGCTTACTTGTCTGTAATGATTGCAGATATAATGTAAGCAAAGAGCTTTGGACATTTGGAAAATGTATACAAATGTTGATGATTTGCTGAACCCTATTGTGATAAATTTAGATGCAGAGCTTCTCTGTGTAATGAGTGTTGCCCTAAATTTGATTTTGCCTCAGCTGCATATGGGATGAGAGAATTTTGATTTGAGCCAGGCGGACAGCGAAAAGATGATGCGATTGCTCTGTCATCCATTCCATCAGCATATCATAATTTGGTTATTTTAAACCTAAGCACTGATGAGCAAGCAGATCAAGATACAAAGAATACGCTTCAACTAGTTCTCACAGATACTTTGACCTGTGTTGGGAGACATTTATATTACTTTAACCAATGTTGGGATTCATTTGATTTTTAAACCTCTTTTTGGCTGCATTTTGCCATTTCCCCTAGAAGCTCAGACCACAAATGAGCAAAACATCGTAAACTTTGGGAAAGTGTTCTTTTGCATTGGCATGGTATGGGTTTGTAGTGGAATATATACAAACACTTAACACTGGACAAGAGTGAAGTAAAAAGGTCACTCATTGTGTACAAATCATGGGAAATATAAACTGAGAGTCTTCCCTCAGTCCCATTGAATTGTCTAATACTGATGGAAGTAGATTTCTATAGATTACCCAAATGCCCTTTGTTCTTTTGTGTAGGACAGAGGTAGGGAAACTGTGGCCCTCCAGATGTTGTTGGACAACAGTTTCCATCCTCCCTGATGCTGGGCCATGCTGGCTGGGGATTTTTGAAAGTTGCAATTCAACAACATTGGGGTGGCACAGGTTCGTTATCCCTAGTTTATCCCTTTAAAGCCCTATATGGCCTAGGACCCTCATACCTACGGAACCGCCTCTCCTGGTATGTCCCACAGAGGAACTTACGGTCTTCAAACAAAAACATCTTGGAGGTCCCAGGCCACAGAGAGGTTAGGCTGGCCTCAACCAGAGCCAGGGCTTTTTCGGCTGTGGCTCCGATCTGGTGGAACGCTCTGTCACAAGAGACTAGGGCCCTGTGGGACTTGACATCTTTCCGCAGGGCCTGCAAGGCAGAGCTGTTCCACCAGGCCTTTGGCCAGGGCACAGCCTGAATCCCTCCTTTGGCAATCCTCACAGAACGCTAGCCCAGTGGTTGCCATTAATCTGATTTGAATTAATTTTATAATGAAATGATTTTAGAATGTTTTATCATTTTACTGTTGTTAGCCGCTCTGAGCCCGGCTTCGGCTGGGGAGGGCGGGATATAAATAATTTTTATTATTATTATTATCAAGGCCTGCATTGCCAAAATGCTTACTTTTAAATTCTAAATTTTGAAATTCTGTTTCCTTTCTTACCCAGAGCCTGCTTTGATGAACTTCAAAGCAACCATCTAGAGATGTGGTTCATTTTTGACTATATATCAGACATTCTCTATGTTGCTGACATGTTTGTACGTACAAGGACAGGTAAGAGTATGCTCTGCTGAATCATATGGTCAGTAACTTTTTATCTGTTATACTACCTTGTTAAAATGAATAGCAAAGACAAGGTAACCTAGTAAGCTTTCTTTAGGGAGGGTTGTTCAAGACATTGAAAGTGTCTATGTGGAAAATGGCCCATCTTAAAAAGTCACCTATTTCATCACCAGAACTTATGTATCATATTCTGATAATAACATCCCACATTGCCTTATCCAGCCAACTTAAGGCTGTATCTTTATATAGTTCTAGATACCCGGTAGGTAGCCATGTTGGTCTGCCATAGTTGAAACAAAATTAAAAAATTCCTTCCAGTAGCACCTTAGAGACCAACTAAGTTTGTTATTGGTATGAGCTTTCGTGTGCATGCACACTTCTTCAGATACACTGAAACAGAAGTCACCAGACCCTTTATATAGCATTTATTGGAATAATGATATTTTGGTTGCTCTCATTAATAAGTGACAATGCATATTAAGGCAGGATAGGAGTACCACCTTATTTATTTTCGAAAATGTATAGTCTGCTTTTAAGGCTTAAGTGATTAAAATGACTGTGTGGGCAAACAATAGTTTAAACCTCCAATGGCAAAATGCAACAATCAAATAAAATCAAGCAGCCCTAGTAAATTCTTAACAGCTGTGGCTTAGAATGCAGCAGATCTCCTGCTCAGCCAGCTGATTCCTGGCTCAGCCAGTGTTTGGTCGCCAACATTAGCTCAGCTGAAGATAGGCTAGTATAACTTGCACATCATGACTCACCTGGCTGAACCAAAGCTTGCTGAGCTGAGGCTGGATTAAGTTCAAAAACAGGAGATTCCAGGGGTGTGGGGCGGGCAGCACTGGCTGGGGGTGGAATTTAGGTTGGATCTTAAGCCTGTTCAGCCCAGTCATGGATGTGGCAACCCTATGTAAAACACTCTTTTAAAAGCTCGTTTCCCCTCTGCCAGGCTCAGGCACAGCAGCAGCCACCCCACAGCTGAATGAGGTTTGGATTTGGTCGGATTCCATCACATACTGGTGAATTTGGGTTGCAGAGTTATACCTGATTGCACAATAACCCCGCTTTCCCAAAAACATTGGTTTTCTTGTGATTAGGGAAGTGATGGAGCAAACATGCACCGGAAAGTGTGGGATAACACATGCTTTGATGAGCAGGATGAACTCTCAATAAACGGGTAATCAAGCAGTGCCCACAATTTCGTGGTTTGCATGTCATGGAAAAACTGTGAGGTTTTCCAAACAGTTAAAGTGGTAAAGGGACCCCTGACCATTAGGTCCGGTCGTGGCTGACTCTGGGGTTGCAGCACTCATCTTGCTTTATTGGCCGAGGGAGCCTGCGTACAGCTTCCGGGTCATGTGGCCAGCATGACTAAGCCGCTTCTGGAGAACCAGAGCAGCGCATGGAAACTCCGTTTACCTTCCCCCCGGAGCGGTACCTATTTATCTACTTGCACTTTGACATGCTTTTGAACTGCTAGGTTGGCAGGAGCAGGGACCGAGCAACAGGAGAGTCGAACTGCCAACCTTCTGATCGGCAAGTCCTAGGCTCTGTGGTTTAACCCACAGCGCCACCCACATCCCATTGATACAGTGGTACCTCGGGTTAAGAACTTAAAACGTTCTGGAGGTCCGTTCTTAACCTGGAACTGTTCTTAACCTGAGGTACCACTTTAGCTAATGGGGCCTCCCACTGCCGCTGCACCGCTGCCATGCAATTTCTGTTCTCATCCTGAAGCAAAGTTCTTAACGCGAGATACTATTTCTGGGTTAGCGGAGTCTGTAACCTGAAGCGTCTGTTACCTGAAGCATCTGTAACCCAAGTTACCACTGTAGTATTGGTAACAGGAAAAACAGAATAGTTCAGAATTTTCACCCAGTTATGGTTCCATTGGAGTTCACAGTATTATGAAAAAATTGGGTGGGGGGAATGAATACAGGTTTCTGTTTACCAAATTCTGACATTTACCTGCTTCTAGATTCCTGATTTGGTGTGGAACTGGAAATACTGTATGATAATATTCTCACCACTTAGCAGGATAATACAGATAACTGGTTTACCAAGGAGTTACTAAATTATCATATATATTTGCCCTTTGCCATGTCAGTAAAAATAAAACAAAATTATATCACAAAGTTATTTCTGCATTTTATTTTAGGTTACCTGGAACAAGGTTTGTTGGTGAAAGAAGAACTTAAACTTAAGAAAAAATATAAGGGAACGGTACAATTTAAATTAGATGTACTTTCCATCATTCCAACTGATCTACTTTACTTCAGGTTAGGCTTGAACTACCCAGAAATACGAATAAACAGATTACTTAGAATATCACGTATGTTTGAATTCTTCCAGCAAACAGAAACAAGAACAAGTTACCCAAATATATTCAGAATTTCAAATCTTGTCATGTATATTATAATTATTATCCACTGGAATGCATGTATGTATTTTTCAATCTCCAAAGCCATAGGCTTTGGAACAGACACATGGGTCTATCCCAATATTAGCCATCCTGAATTTGGCCGGCTGGCTAGAAAGTATCTTTACAGCCTTTACTGGTCAACACTGACCTTGACAACTATTGGTGAAACACCACCTCCCGTGAAAGATGCTGAGTATTTCTTTGTCGTTGTTGACTTCTTAGTTGGTATATTAATTTTTGCTACCATTGTTGGTAATATTGGTTCTATGATCTCGAACATGAATGCTGCCAGGGAAGAATTTCAAGCAAGGATTGATGCTATAAAACAGTACATGCAGTTTCGGAATGTGAGCAAAGACTTAGAAAACAGAGTTATCAAGTGGTTTGATTATTTGTGGACAAATAAGAAGGCAGTAGATGAAAGAAAAGTCTTGAAGTATCTCCCAGATAAATTACGAGCAGAAATTGCCATCAATGTTCATCTGGAAACTTTAAAGAAAGTCCAGATTTTTTCAGACTGTGAAGCTGGGTTACTGGTTGAGCTAGTCTTAAAACTACAGCCTCAGGTGTACAGTCCTGGAGATTATATCTGTCGGAAAGGTGACATTGGGCGAGAAATGTACATCATCAAAGAAGGGAAACTTGCCGTGGTTGCTGATGATGGAGTTACTCAATATGTGGTCCTAAGTGATGGCAGCTACTTTGGGGAGATTAGCATTCTTAACATTAAAGGTAGCAAAGCTGGAAATCGGAGAACAGCTAACATTAGAAGCATTGGTTATTCAGATTTGTTTTGTCTGTCTAAGGACGACCTAATGGAGGCTTTAACAGAATACCCAGATGCAAAGGCCTTGTTGGAAGAGAAGGGAAAGCAAGTCCTTATGAAAGATGGACTGCTGGATTTAGATGTTGCAAACGCAGGAAGAGATCCTGAAGATATCGAGGAAAAGGTCAACCAAATAGAAGTAATGCTTGACTGTTTACAAACAAGGTTTGCTAGACTTCTGGCCGAATATGGTGCTGCACAGCAAAAACTGAAAATAAGGCTAACACAAGTTGAGAGCATCATCAAAGCGCCTATGGATTTTGATTTATCAAATTTAGAAGAAACTGAAGAATGAAAAGAGTAGAAACGTAGATATTGTAAGCACTGCCGAATCTGTAATAAAGAGTCTAATAAAAGACAAAATAAGGAGGCGTCATTGAACATGGAATCTGTTAATCTTGGCTGATTTTCTTTTTAAGCCAAGCATGAAGGGTATTTTCAATAATTTACGTTTTATCTGTTATGAGTGTGACCAGAAAATATCACTTGATCTAGATGATAAACTGGACTCCTCAGCAGTCATTTTGATTTATAGATGATAAGTTTGCTGCACTTTCTACTCAGAACAAAGTCAACTCTGATAGAACACCTTTGTTTTGTAGCAGCTGCCCAGAAAATTAGCAGTAATTATAGTCAGTCAGTTGCAAGTTATCGAGAGAATGTGATGCGATAAAATTCCACACTGTTTAATAAAATCCTTGTGAAAATTTTTGGTGTTTGTATTGACTGGCTACAAATAACCTCTGAGGATCGTGTGCCTAAAGGGGTTTCTTGAGATGCAGCTGTAAATTCTTAGCAGGAGACCTCGTATTCTGTGATTATCAACAGTTTTAAACATATAGCTAAATTATTTCTAGACTGCCTATGGTGACCAGGTACAGTAGATTAAAATAAAGGCAGAAGCCCTGCCCAAAGGTAGCAAGATTGACTCCATAAAAAATGGATAAGGTGGAAGACATCCGTTTATAAATGGCAGCAAGAAGAGGTATATTTTGGAACATGTGCATTTCAAAATGCAGCACTGTTCTGTCAGTCTGCTAATAAAGCAAGGCTTTCCATTCAGCAGTCTTGATCTGGAAATTCATATAAAGGTCATGTGGCTTTTTTTACCCTGTTCTTTCCTTGGACTGAGGTTGGGAAGCTGTGCAGGTGCAACTACTTCTTGGGTCGCTCTGGTCAGTGATTTTGAGCAGGCTGGTATTTTCTTGGTAGGTGACCTTGATGCGGGGAGGTGATGTAATCTCTCAGCAGCCCTTAGTGTTGATAAGCACATTCCATGTCTCAGTTGTGTTTTGGCAAAACATGTTGTGGACATTTAATATTTGTGCTCTTGCTGGTCTATATAGGCATCCCAAAAATAGGGGGGGGGGGGGAATTATTAACTCTTGGTTTACACAGAAAAAAGAACTTGTACTGCAACAATTAGTGACTATTCTTTGTAGTACACTGGCATTTTGTGTTTAGAGAAGCAAATATCAGTTTAGCTACAGTCTGGATTAGGTTGCCTGATTTAAAAAAACGGGGCTTGAGGGATTTGCTTTTTTAGTCCTTGGGGGAGACGGCTGAAATCTGAGGACAGGTGACCTCACCTAGGCCCGAAGTCACCCCCCACCAAAGCAGGCCTGAGAAACTGAATCTTATCTCATTCTAGTTGCAACATCTCTGGACATGCTGAACCACTCTCATTCCCCTTTTCCTGGGAAGGGCGCCAAGAGTCCAATAGTCACAAGACAGCTTTCTGTTCATGCTCAGAGGAACTCATGGGGCAGGACTCTGGAAGGAGGAGAAAGGGGGAGGGATCTGGAATGGGTATATATGCTTGTGCACATGATTGTGAACTCGTGCATGCTTTTTGTGATTTATCACACTTGCTCCTTCTACCAGTTTGTGGATGGTAGAAATAAAAGCCTTTTCTCTGAAACTATTCCTTGAGTGTCTGTTGACTCCCACTTCCCTTTCCCAGGCGCAATATTTTTCCCACCCGAGGGCAAAGCCTCATAAGGCTACATTTCTTGGTGCGATTGGCCGGGAAAAACAGATTCCCTGAGGATAAGGGATGTGGGTTCAAGGCATCCCTGTGGTGAACAGCTCGGTTCGTTTCAGCAGTTCCAGTGCACATCCTGCCAAGTTCGTGGGAGGAATTGCCACCCGTTCCTGAGTGGACACACTGCAAGGACCGGAGAAAAAGCAACAGCCGTGCAGAAAAAAGGTACCTCGAGGAAAAAGGTAAGCTCCACATGGTTAGGTGGGAGCAAAGAGAGTCTGATCAGCTCCGCCAGCAGGGTAGAAAAAGTGCCACTGGTTTTGGTGTCGCCCAGAAAAAGCAGTAAAGGGTGCTGCTGGGCCCCGGTCGAAGTCTAAGCACTGCCGGTTGGTTGTTGGTTTTGTGCCCAGAAGAAGCAGTAAAAGTTGCTCTTGGCCCCCGGTCGAAGTCTAAGCGCTGCCGGTTGTGGTTGGTTTTGGTAAAAAAGGGATTGAGGGAGGTGCATGGGTTTCTGAATGTGCGTGTGGGGACACTCCAGTGAATGTTTTGAATGCATGAGACGTTGGAAGCAACGTGTGGTCTGTGACTGAGAGAAATTACGTTAGGAGGAGGGAGTGTCCCAGGGTCCCAGTATCCCAAGTGTTCCAGGGTTCCAGGGTCATGGAGAAAAAGCAGTAAAACAACTCCCACGACCCCCCTGCAATTGTTTCCGGGGGGGGGGGGAATTGGAAAGATGCCACAAAGGGAGAAGATTGGGGATTTTAAAAAAACCTGATGAAAAAATAGACTCCAACACTTATGTGTAGTTCCTGACCGTCCCCCATGGCTTAGGAAAAGCAGAACTGTGATTACCCGTGCTGTGCCAAACTGTGTTCAGTATGGCAGCAAGTACAAGTTAGAAAAAAAGCCAGCAGTTTTGCCAGTCCCAGAAGAACAGGAGGAAGGAATAATTAGCCCCCTCCACCCTATGCAGCAACTGCACCAGGGCTAAATGAGGTTCCCCCTACCCAACCCCCAAAGCAAAGAGACTGAGGAAGAAAGAGAAGAGGACAGTTGAGAATGGTGAAATTCAGAAGGAATCAGGGGAAATGGACAAGCAGACAGTCCAAAAGAGTATTTCAGTATGTGAATTGGCAGAAAGAAAAGAGCAGAAGATTTTAAAGAGCCGCGTGAGATAGAGCCAGTAAGCAATCCAAAAGAGGATGTGGCTTCTTGGTTCTAGAAGCAGCACAATGCAAGGATGTGAATTGGCAGACAGAAAGAAACAGAAGGGAAGGCTTTGAGAGCCACATAGGACAGAACTGTTAAAAAAAGAGAGAGACAATTAAAAAACCCAAGGGATTAAAAACCCTAGGATTACAATACTGACCATTGAGGAAATCCGCAAGATAAATGCCCTCAGGGCAGCGGACAATACTGATGTTGCAATTGAGGCAGCTAATAGTTGCAATTGAGGCAGCTAAAACTCCACTTTGATGGCCCCACCCCACCGAGTGTACGACCCCCTGGAGTCATCCGATGCCCAGGACCACAGACCTCCAAACACCCTTAATCAGAATCCTTCTTTCGAAGAGGACCTGGCCAAAATAATTAGGGGTTTGTCTTCAAGCAGCCAGCAGCCAAAAATGCAAACCCCGGAGGGTGTCCAAGGGGAGGGGCAGAAGACGCCTAGGGAAGAAACCACTGCGCCATCTGCAGGCAAGAGGGTCACTGGAAAATGGAACGCCCGACACACCCCAGCCCCACAGGCTGGGAACAATAAGATTTCTCAAAAATGATTTCTTCTCATCTCTGTTCTTGCTGAAAGACTGTTGCAGCTAGAAGCGAGTGAACTAACTGTTTCTAACATTCATTCATGCAAGTAACAGGACATCAGCTTTTTTTCCTTGTGCCAGGTGCTTGGAGTAGCTTATCTCTTGGCAGCTATCTCAGAAGGTCACTGCTGCATTCAGCCAGCTACTCTGACCTGCTACTGCCTGAAGCCAATTAGGATTTACAGTCAAACGAAAAAACCCAGAATGCCAAGGGTTACTCACCCTCTGCCCCAAAGTACTAACCTGAAGAAATGACTTTCTTAAAAGCAAGTGAATGCTTTCTGTGAACTTTGTCAAAAAAAAATTCTTTTTAGGAGCTACTGAAGAAGCGCAGCATGCTCAGATAAAAAACGCTGCTCCTATAGGAATTTTGAAACTTTGAAACTTTGGAAGTTTGCCAGTGCACGGGAACACTGTGCCCCTCCTGCTTAACACTGACAAAAACTTGGCACATGAACTGCAATTTGCAACATGGCTTTGCAGGCCGCAAAAGCTCTGAAAAAAAATAGAGCACAGGAAGACTTTTAAAAATCTTGGCTGGCAAACTTAACCCAAGGAACAGAACTGTTAACCCCTTGCGAAGTTTCCTGCCAAGCATCTCCTTTGAGTTAATATACCTTATGTGCAAATGTTATCTATCAATTTGTTCTGTGCAATCGCTGCCGTCTTTGTTATCTCTTCTCTTAACAGGTGGACTTTTGCCAGGATACCTCTGCATCCCTATGAACCAGGTGAAGAGGACCCAGACGCCCAGACATCGCTCCAGCCTTGTTGGAAGGGACCCAAGATGCCCAACGCCCACCAGACGACCCGACGCCCACCAGACTACAGCCCTGCTAAACGTCACTCCTGGACGCTGGCGTTTTGCACGGCTCAAGAATCCAGCATGGATTGAAAGAGGACATTTTCTCATTTTCTTTCCTTTCCTTTTGCATAACTGAACTTTATAGAAGGTTGCAGGGCCCCTGGATAGCCTTACACCACCCCTGCAGAGAAGGGTATTTGTGTGGGTTGTTCAATCAAGGAAATGATGCCCCAGCCTCCTTTCATTATCTTGCCACCTGGTAGAGCTCCACCCAGAGCCTCCAGGACTTAACTGAAGCCCCCCCTTTGAACCACAGCACCGACTTGGTAATGACCCTGTGCACAAATGGTATGGGTAAGGCTGTGGGTACCCAATGCCCCTCCTCCCTGTGCCTTGGAATGAATCATCAGTTACAGCCTCGATCATTCCATCATCGAATTACTGGCTGGCTTTATGTCAATAATTCAAAGAGCGCCAGTGACAATCTGCAATTGTACCTTCCCAGCCCAAACCGTTACACCTGAGTCCACGCCAGGAACTTTTTCCGGCTGCAATGTGGGTTTCAGAAGGGGAAGGTAGTGTCTCTGCTCACAGACGTGTGTCTGCACCCCGTCAAAGGAGATGTTCAGCTGACCTAGCAACAATTGCAGGAGGCAGCTCCCAGCTCCCACATTTCGGGACAGCATCAGTGGCCTCAGTGGAAAGGATAGTGGCCCATTTTGGGACGAGCCTTGAAGAAGGCTGCCCAAAGATTAAGAGGGGGAATGAAGGAAGGTGAGGACAGGTGACCTCACCTAGGCCCGAAGTCACCCCCCACCAAAGCAGGCCTGAGAAACTGAATCTTATCTCATTCTAGTTGCAACATCTCTGGACATGCTGAACCACTCACATTCCCCTTTTCCTGGGAAGGGCGCCAAGAGTCCAATAGTCTCAAGACAGCTTTCTGTTCATGCTCAGAGGAACTCATGGGGCAGGACTCTGGAAGGAGGAGAAAGGGGGAGGGATCTGGAATGGGTATATATGCTTGTGCACATGATTGTGAACTCGTGCATGCTTTTTGTGACTTATCACACTTGCTCCTTCTACCAGTTCATGGATGGTAGAAATAAAAGCCTTTTCTCCGAAACTATTCCTTGAGTGTCTGTTGACTCCCACTTCCCTTTCCCAGGCGCAATATTTTTCCCACCCGAGGGCAAAGCCTCATAAGGCTACAATAGGCATCCCAAAAATAGGAGGAAAAAAATTATTAACTCTTGGTTTACACAGAAAAAAGAACTTGTACTGCAACAATTAGTGACTATTCTTTGTAGTACACTGGCATTTTGTGTTTAGAGAAGCAAATATCAGTTAACTACAGTCTGGATTAGGTTGCCTGATTTAAAAAAACCGGGCTTGAGGGATTTGCTTTTTTCAGTCCTTGGGGGAGACGGCTGAAATCTCAAAAACAGCACTTTTGAAGTATGTGTATGCACACACAAAAAAGTTTTTTTTCAACTGTCCTCAAAACCTTTCCCTCTGCATGTTCCTTTTCTTCTTCTTTTGCCATGGGACTTTTTTTATTCTGAGGAAGCCCTACATGCAAATTGATTGTCTGAATGTGATTAATGTCAAGTGGTTTTGCTAAGTAAGACAAACCGGAGGGGTGGGCTGGGGAGTCCAGAGAGCATAAACTCCCAATAACATTTCGCTGAGCAAATCTGGAACAAAACTTAGCTGTAGTAACTAATGGCCAAATAATAATAATAATAATAATAATAGTAGTAGTTTGTCTACTGCCCTTCATAAAAAACAAACCAATAACTTCCCCCTCCCACAAACACATTTTAAAAACCATAGAATGTTAATCAGCCAAACGCCTGGTTGTGGAGAAATACTTTTATTATGTATTAAATTTGTATAGATCAAAGTGACCCTGCAGGAAAAACACTGAAATATCTGAGCCCGGGCGAATGAGACCTTACACAGTTCCCTGTCGGGGGGAAACAGGCGGGGTCTAAATACCAGATGGGCGTGGAATAATAATAATAATAATAATAATAATAATAATTTAAAATATATTACTATATGTATAATAATAAATTATATATATATAATTGCGCAAAACGAAAGCGCTCGACGGCGCTCCTTCTGATGCATTCTGGGTGCTGTAGTTCTCCGTGGGCCACTTCGGAGGCCGTCGGTTCTTTATTCGCCGCACAGAAAGAGGGGGGGCGGAGTCCTGCCACACCACGGTTCCGGTGTTTGCCCTTCCCACTTCCGATTCTCTGCCGCGAGGGATGCCGGGAGTTGTAGTTTAGGCGCCGGCTCGCCGTGAACTGCTGAGGAAGCGCTACGTCGGCTACACCTGGATCCTCCCAGCTGCTGCGCCTCATCCTCTGAAAGCGGGCGGGCGGCGACGGGCTGCTCCGTCCCGGCTCCGAGCGAGCGACGGGCCTTGTGGCGGGGAGGGAGGAGGTGGAGGAAGAAGGATGGAGGCGGCTTGGCGCCAGGGCGGCCGGGGCCGGGGAAGGGGGAGAGCCGGAGCTGGCGGGGTCCCTGCAGGCAGCGGACCTGGCGGCCGGGGAAGGGGAAGGGGAGGCGCCTCCCCGGCCGCCGGGGCTTGTAGTAATAACGCCTCAGGAGCCCGCGGTGAGTATTTTCACTACCTCACACACCCACAGTGGGGGGAGGGGCAACCCCCTCATACTCCACTTGGGGCCCAGGTGAAATAGGAAAGGCATGAGGTTTTTTTTTTTATAATTAAAATAAAATAAAATGTATTGAAGGGAGAGCAAGAATGCAGCTCCCTGCAGCTGCTTCAAGAAGTGATGAGTGAATTTATTATTTTACACTGTGTATGTGTGTGAGCAGAAGCTGAAATCTTATTTGAAGTGTAGGTATATATATCTCCATTAGGATACAAACCAGTTCATAATAGGGACCATTTTTATTTAAGGCGGACTCTCTTAAGCTCTGTGTTTTTAACATGTACAGTTTACGCTTGTTTTGATCCGTATTAAGGTTAATGTTATGTTTTATACCCTGCCTTTCTCCCTAACAGAGACTCGAGGCAGCTTACAATAAGAGCAGTTGAAAACTGTTGGGTGGGAAATTATTAAAAACCACCAATTAAGCATTGTTAGAATTAAGGCAAATATAAAATGTATTAAAACAGATAATTACAATAAAAAGGCACCAGCCCTTCACTAAAAGCAATTGGTTTCCCAAAGCCTGCTCAGTTATTTGATACATTGGAGCTGAGAACTGGGAGCACGCCTGATTTGTGTGGCGGCTGCTGTAATTATTGAACATTTAGGTCATTTGCGATATTGTTGCTGTGCTTGACATCGCTGAACGTATTTGAAAACTAGACAAGTATTTTATGCAAATATGCTTACATGACGTTCATTGACTTCCCCCAAAAGAAGCCTGGAACTGTAGTTTACCCCTCACAAAGCTTGAAGTCCCAGCACCCTTAAAACTGCAGTTCCCAGAATTCTTGGGGGGAAGCAATGGCCTTTAAATGTGTGGATGTGGATGTGGAATCCCCACACCGGAGAATAGAAGCAGCTGTTTGGAGTAGAGATGCAGCCAATGGATGTATGAAGACTTAGGCATTCCCTTCCACTGCTGCTTTGCTCCAAAATGGCCCCTTCTGAAGCAGGAAAGAAAGCTGTTTAGGGTTTGATTATGCACATTTATGTGTAACTATAAGTTGGGCCCTTGGATACAAGCCATTGTATGCCTTCTTCACCTTTGATGCAGAAGTGCAGGTGTAAATGAGCTTGTATACATTGCTTATGCAGTAAGAACCAGGGAAGTATAGGCTGTGTTTCAAGAAAATACTGAAACCAGCTGTGAAGAGTCATGTGCCCCTTCCAAGAATGCCAGAAGATAATCGAAACCGTGCCAGGGTGTGGCCTTTGTAAAAAAAAAATCTTCCTTTTAAAGCATCTAATATTTGCCTTGTTGGTTAGATATTTAAACAGAGTTTTTATTAGTTGCATTTATTTTTCTGAAAGATGCTGTCACATTTTAAACTCTGTTTAAACTTTGTTCCCCTAACAGAGCTAACTTCTCAGAAAAAATTTGATGAAATTAAGAAGGCTAACCAAGCTGCAGCTAGAAAGCTTGTTGAAGATCAATTTAGTTCCTCCTCTGAAGAAGAAGATGAAGATATCAAAGGAAAACATGGAAAAATATTGGCCAAGACATTTACCACATATACAAATCAAACTGGTAAAGCTTTTATTTATTTATTTCACATGCCCTTGCCTTATAAACACCTACCTATCACTACACTGAGATCATTATTCAGATAATGATTTCTTTAATTGGCGTAGTAACTCATTAATGAATGCTTATATTATAGGAACCATACAGTATGTATGTATGCTCAGAAATATAGCTCAATCTATCACAAAAGTAATGTGTAACAGTAAATACAGCAGCTGTAGGAGACCATATAACACTGTTCTTAAAAGATCTGCACTGGTTGCCTATTCACTACCAAGCCCAATTCAAGCTTAAATGGCTTGGGACCTAGTTAACAGAGGGAGCCCTTCTCCAGGTATCATTCAGCCTGTGAGTTGAGATTCACTGGAGATTTGGGTGACTGAAACTTTGAAAAGGACCTACTCTTTGCTAGTCCCCTGATTACGAAACAGTCTTCCCACAGACATTAGTCTCTTAGTAGTCATTATATGTTGGGGTTTAGAGAGGTATGGCCTTGATTCATGTATGGTTTCCATTTCAGACCATCAGTAAATGTTAGCGTGGCATTTTGTTTTACATGGAAATAAGAGCTTCACAAATAAGCTTTTGATTTATCCTTTGGCCTCTAACATTAGGGTAAAATAGCACTGACTACTGCTTTGTACAAAAAACAAAATTGTCTTCCTGTCTTGTTCAAAGATGGAGATGCAAGTGAACTGGAACGCACAAGGCAGTACATGAATGATGCTTTTCAGTCTGGGGCAATGACGTGCTTGATATGTATTGCTTCAATTAAGAGAAACCAAGCGGTAAGCATCTTACACTATAGAGTATTGTAACAGTACCACTTCTTCAACATTTGCTGTTTAGTTGGAATGTATTTGCTCTTCAGTTAGAGAGGGCATATAAAGAAATATGCTTTCGACTGCGCTGTCACTTCATCTTTGGAATTCCTTTCAAAATGCTGTTGATAGCTTCAGAAAGTGATCAAAAGCCTCTCATTTTACAGACATTCGTATTGTGGCTGGGCATGAAAAAGTAATTTTGTTTTATTACTTTGACTGCCTGAATTGGGTCCAGCTGCAGAAATCCAACCTGTTCTCTGCATCCCGTTACATTTATTTAGGGAATCATCAACACATTCCCCCCTCCCCCACCTAAGAAACCACAGTAAGAGCTAGTGGTACAATTGAAATTACCACTTCTGATACTAAAATTGCCACGTGTTGAAATCATCAGTCAAGCTCTGGCCTTCAGCACTCTCTCACTTGTGCACTCTTGCTCGGAATGGGATGGATCCTAGCCAGGACAAGCATACTCTGAAAGGGGTCAGGTCCAAAGAAGAGTGACTTCTTTGAAGGACAAATGGGAGAAGAGATACTTACCTTTCTTGCACTCTGAGCTTGTTTGCACATCACAGTAAAGCAAACTATGGCTTACCAGGACTTTGAGAATGTGTTGGCTCCCAGAAAGGCTCCTCTCCTGGTCTTTTTAGTGCAATGCAAGATTGGTTTAGTGTGTCATCTGAACCTAGGATCGTGGTTAAGGTATTTCCTCCTTAACCACTGCCTGTACCAAGGTTTGTCCTCTGGTTAATGGCTAAGGAGGAGAGACCTTAACCACAATCCTGTGTTTGGATGACACACTAAGCCAAACCTTGGCTTATCTGCTTCATTGCACTATGCTTAATAATAATAATAATTAATAATTATATTATTTGTACCCTGCCCACCTGATTGGGTAACCCCAGCGACTCTGGGCAGCTTCCAACAAATATAAAAGCATAATAAAACATCAAATATTTAAAACTTCCCTATAGAGAGCTGCCTTCAGATGTCTTCTAAAAGTTGTATAGTTATTTATCTCCTTGACATCTGGGGGGGGGGTGTACGTTCCAGAAGGTGTAAGGCACTCTGCCTGGTTCCTGTAACCTCACTTCTCGTAGTGAGGGAACCACTAGAAGGCCCTTGGAGCTGGAACTCACTGTCCAGGCTGAATGATGGGGGTGGAGATGCCCCTTCATGTATACAGGACCGAGGCCATTTAGGGCTTTAAAGGTCAGCACCAACACTTCGATGAACATGGTGGGCTCAAGATGCTCTCCAGGACTCAGTATGGCCACGTGGTCTTGGTAAACTATAGTGTGGATTGTTGTGAAATACAGAAATTGTGAAATTGTGTCTGTCATGCTTTGACCACATTTTTTTAAAACTACTAATAAGTCTGTGCTCCATTTGTTTAAACTCTATAACATACCCTGTATTCAAATACCGTATTTATTTGAATGTAATATGCACCTTTTTTGGCCAAATTACATTGCGAAAATTAGGGTGCGCATTAGATTCAACGGAGCATTCGATTCATGTAAATACGCTAACAATATATATTTTTTTGGAATAAATAAAATGCTGCTTTACACAGCGTGATAACAGGATCTACATCAGGACATAGCACAATAAATAAAACCCAATATTCACCTTAGTTTTTTTGCAGCAGTGGGAGAGGAGGATTGTTGCATATGTGTATTGAATTTTATACGCCAAATCAGCATGTTTACTTGGAAAGGCCTTTGAAACATCTTTATCTGCCTTCTAGGTCTGGAGTTGTTCTGGATGTTTCTGCATATTTCACATGCCTTGCATTCAGAAGTGGGCTAAGGATAGCCTTTTTCTAATATCTTCTCCATTGACAGATGATGATTTCGGAAAGAAGGATTATCCATGGCCTTGGTAGGCTTTTACGGTTTTATTTTGAAAGCTCCTTTATGTGGTGGGAAAACAGTACTTAAAAGAAGAGCCAGACAGCTGTAGAATGTGTGCTCTAATGTTGCATTTAATGAAAAAATTCCTTTGCATTTAAGTATCTTTAGCAATCCCAGGGTACGTTGGTGTTGTGTGCATGAAAAATACCATCTCCGTGACGGAGGACTTGGCTGCTCTGTGAGCACAGCCAACTAAAGTTAAACACGTTTAAGTAGTAATGGGGGAACTTAAAACATTGTAAATCAGTTGAATCCCACACCATTTGCTCAGATGAAAGTTCTCTGTTTCCAGAACTTTTAGTATATACAGCTTTAAAGCTGGGGAAATGCTCCTGTTGAAACATAACATAACCAAAAATAAAATAATGTCTGAGGACAGAAAGCCTGATTTCTTCCTTCTCTTTGCTACCCTGGTTGGTATAATCTGCCCTTTTGATCTTCCCTTGAATTTTGACCTGAATTCTTTTCGCCTCTAGCCTTGTTTAATGGCAAATGTGATCGTGTTTTGTTCTTTTGAGTGGTGCTTAGGGTTAAGCAGTTGCACAGCAGCAGTAGAGTGGAAATGTGAAATTTCCCTGTGAGAATTTTGATCTCTAACCTCTTCATTCAGTGCACAGTTGTAATCATAATGTTAGTTGAAGTATCACAAAAAAGTCTTACTTGGGTACAATATGGATGGAAGTCCATGCACTGAGCCAGACAGCGGTTCTTTTGAGTGGGTGGTTTATTTTTATTTTTTGAAGAAATAGTGTTTGGCTTCCTCCCCGTGGGATGGATATCTCTGCATCCTGTTATATCACTGGAGGCCCAAGTGACCTTGGTGGTGCAGAGTGCTTTTCCCAGCTTAGGCAACCTCTTTGGGATAGAGAGAGCCTGACAACTATCATCCGTGGGTTGGTAACTTTATTGTTAGACTATTGTTATATGGGACTGCTCTTGAAGACGGTAGAAACTAGGTTTTCGGTCCAGAATAGAGCTGCTCTGGTAGGAACAAGGACCAGTTGCTGGGAAAACATCTCATATATATTGAAATAACTCCATTGGCTTCCAGTCTGTTGCAAAACACAACTCAAGGGCTTCACTTTTGAAAGCTCTACATGGCTTTGGACCTAGCTACCTGAAGGGACACCTGCTTCCATGTCAAGCTTCCATGAACTAAGACAATCTGCTAAGTGAGGCAGCCGGCAGCCAGGGAAAATGTATTTTTGATTGCGGTGCCTTCTCTGTAGAACTCTTTCACCAGAGAGGTTCACCTGGTGCTTATGCAGGTATTTTTTGGCAACAGGTAAATACGTTTATTCTCTGGAGCTGCTTAAACCGTTTTCTCTTTTTAATGCTCTTTTGACTTAGTATCATAGAAGTGTAGAGTTGGACTTGGTAATCTAGTCCAAGCCACTGCAATGCAGCAATCTTTTGCTCAACGTGGCTCTCAAATGCATGACCCTGAGATTAAGAGTCTCGTGCTCTACTGGCTGAGCTATTCATTTAAGAATGCATTTGGATGGAACCTGTATTTTTAACATTACGTTTTTACATGCATCTCTGTAAATTTCCTGGGAACCCTTTTTTGAAAGGCACTGTAAAAAATCCTGTAAATAAATAAATCTATTTCAGTTGCTAATGGCTGATGTTATAGTGTCACGGTTTTTTGTTGTTGTTTTTTGTATTGTTGGTAAACATTGGGCTTTGAATCGGCATTTAGCATCCATAATTGTGGCTGCATCACTGTTGTGGTTGCAGTAAAGTCATATACTAAAGCTGAACTTTACCAAAGTCTCCGTGAATTTTTCCTCTGATCTTTCAGTCCAAAGTGCAGATTTGAGTACAAGCGATCGGAGACTCCCACTCGCTACTACTGCTACTGCAGAAAGGTAGAGGACCCACCACTTGATCCCTGGCTAGTTCCACATTCCTGTGGCCAAGTATGTGAAAGAGATTTCAAGCCTCCCTGTGGACACAGGTGCCTGCTACTTTGTCACCCAGGTATGTGATGTTAATGTAGCTGTACGTAAGCAATACAGTCGTACCCTGGAAGTCAAACGGAATCCGTTCTGGAAGTCCATTCGACTTCCAAAACATTTGGAAACCGAAGTGCGGCTTCTGATTGGCTGCAGGAAGCTCCTTGAAGGGATTCAAACGAAGGTCTCCCCAGTCCCTGTTGATTCTGACTTGACAACTCGGATGTTCTGTGCTGGAATATCATTTCTGTGATAACCTTTCTTTTTCTTATTTCTAGGTCCTTGCCCGCCTTGTCCAAAGATGGTCACAATAACCTGCTACTGCAAGAAGGCTAAGCCTGTGCCACGAAGATGCAGTACCAAAGAGTGGTCATGTCAGCTGCCCTGTGGGCGAAAGCTGCCTTGTGGACAGCACAACTGTGAAAAACCTTGTCATCCAGGTAGATGTTTCTGTGTTGGATGTTACTTCAGGTTGACTCTCATTTTTGTCAGCAGGATCAATTTTCTCCCTCTCTGCTTCTAACACTCCCGCTTGTGCCCTGTCCTTCTCCCCAGTGGGTGAAGAAATTAAAACAATCTCTGTCCAAGCTGTATTCTAATATTTAACTCTGCCTTACCTTTAGGAGACTGCCAGCCCTGTCCAAGAGTCAGTAAACAAGCTTGCATCTGCGGTAGGCAAGTAGCAGAGAGGCTTTGCGCAAGTCCTGTATGGCAGTGCAATCAGGTAAGTTTCCTTAAATGTTGCCATGTTTTGTCATCACATATAGGGTTTCGTTATATAAGAAGGGTGGCGGGTGTTACCAGCATTGACTCTGTCCCCCGCCCCAACCTCTAGTAAGAAATCTTATGTGTTAACATGAAGAAGCATAAGGGATTTATGGCGTCATTTGGAAAAACAGCAATTTTGGTCCCAGTTTATACAATTAAGCAAGGACATTTGTTTTGCCTTACCCGTTTGCCGCTGAGCCTCTTCATTCCTATGGAAGCAGTTGCGTGTGCTTAGTTTTTCACAGATGGCTTCTCCATTTTGGCTTTATTTATGTTAAATAAATCATGATGCGGTGTAATGCACCATGTGTTGTTGTTCAGCAGAGGTTGTATTTACCTTATTTTAAGACCTGCTAAGGAGCAGATGGTTGTTATTACGTCCTGACAGGTAAAACCACAGAGTTCAAAGAGCACCTTCTTCCTTTTTACCATGACTGTATGTGGTCTAAACCACAGAGCCTAGGGCTTGCCGATCGGAAGGTCAGCGGTTCGAATCCCCACGACGGGGTGAGCTCCCGTTGCTCTGTCCCTGCTCCTGCCAACCTAGCAGTTCGAAAGCATGTCAAAGTGCAAGTAGATAAATAGGTCCCGCTGCAGCGGGAAGGTAAACGGCGTTTCTGTGCACTGCTCTGGTTTGCCAGAAGCGGCTTAGTCATGCTGGCCACATGACCCAGAAGCTGTACACTGGCTCCCTTGGCCAATAAAGCGAGATGAGCGCCACAACCCCAGAGTCGTTTGTGAGTGGACCTAACAGTCAGGGGTCTGTTTACCTCTTTACCTTCATGGTTAGCAGCAGACCTACCAGCAGGCTTGCAACTCAGCTGGGATTACAGGCTGGGGTGTAGGTGTGCTGGTTGTCTGAATCATCGCTTCTGTGCTGCAGCCACTTTGTGTTGCTGTGGTTGCATGTGCTGCTACACGTGGATCCCAAGGGTATCCATGCTATACGCTGGAGCTTTCCTGGCCCTTCCCCCCACAGCTCCCTGTTGGGGAATAGGGATTACTTCAGATGGTGTAGGGTACTTCTTTGTTGGGAAGGAGAAATTGGGAGGCTGCCCTCCCATGGATCCATGGATCCATGCCATAGCTTCTAGACTAGAGTCTGTGGCCACATTTTATGCAAGTGGCTATGAATAAAAGGTTTCACAAGCGAGCCCAATAATTCCTTGTTTAGTGTGCGTTTGACGCAGTGGTTATTACAAAATACAGTTGGTTGCATTCAGCAATGCCCTCTTGTTGACGGAGCACTACTTGATCCAGTGGAGGCTTCAGCACACCAAGAAGCATCATCTTTTTTGTTGATCTTCCTCCCCCTCTGCAGCTTCCCACACATGAACCCAGTTCTGTTCAAGAGTTGTGGACGGTGATATGCAGCTGCTGAGGGGAAAGGAATTGGTGAAAATGACCTCCCTCCCTGTTATGCTGACTGACTGAAGTATCCACTGAATCAAAGAGCCTTCTGTCAGCAGGGGGACGTCATTGGATGTAACCCAATATTTATAAGTCTCAAAGCCCCTTTGAGGGCCTAGACTTGCTCGTTTTATGGCATAAAAATGCGAAAATAAACACCTCTCGCTTTTTCTGTTGTCTCCTTCATGGCATGGTTACACATGAAGGACGGGGAAATTTCAGCACATTCAGCCTATCTTAGCCTTGGCATAGCAAGCTTCATCTGCAGAAATTTTCCTTTTTGCTGTACTTGTTACAAAACAAGAGGAGGGCTCCTAGTACCTTGTAGGCTCCCCCCCCTCCGAGAGTTTGAAAGTTTTAGTTTATATCTTTGTGCTGTATTACTTTTGTTGAAAAATAAATAAATAATTTTGGTCATACTGTCCATGGCAGTAAACAGTCTTGCCTTTGCAGAAAGAGCCTCTGCAAAGGCCTGTGTGTACAGTGCAGTTCTCTGCCTGTAGAGCTGAGATGCATTTTACATCTGCAGTCTACAGTTCCCTCCCTGAGCTGTTTCAATGATGAGAGCTTCACTAGCGAAATATGAAAGCTGCATCATTCATTTTTATTTTTTTTGCAAAATAGCCAACTTTCGTTGCTCTGTGATTAAAATGTAACGTCACAGAAAAATTACCCTCAATGGCCAAACATCCTACTAAAAAACATCATACTAAACCAGTGGTGTCCAAACTTTTTCAAAGAGGGCCAGATTTGATGAAGTGAACAAAAGTTGTTTTTAAGGATTTTCGCCCAAAGTTGCAGAGCTTTTTTTAAGGATTAAAGTCATTGGTTGGACTTATTCCTTGGGGGGGGGCAGCTCTCCGTCAATGTGTTGGCTCCTGGGCAGAACAAGCCAAACAGCAGGCGCTCAGGGACTGCAACAGATTCATTTCTCAGAATTGCTTGGGGGGGCGGATTAAATTGACCAGGGGGCTGGATTTGGCCCCCAGGCTGGACTTTGGACATGCCTGCACTAAACCATAGTTTGGTGTGACCAGAATAAACTGGAATGAGGTTCAATGAACTTTGAGTTCAGAAGCTTCCATGCCTCCAAGCTGATTTATTCCAGAGCTTGTTGGTTCTGATGAAACTACAAACTGTGGTTAAGTAAAAGCTTCCAAACTCCTCCCAGCCACATAGGAAGGAAGAGTGAACTTGCACGCTCACAGCTGATACATGCACATTGCACTAAATTGTGGCTTAGCATGTTGCTGGAATATGGCCAGTCTGTAATTGCTTGTCATCTTTTCTTGCTGAATAAGGCTGATGTAACTTGAACAAAGCTTTGCTCTGAAAGCTGTTTAATTCTTATAACAATATGGTTCAGGAAGAGTTCACCTATTCCTTTTTATTAACATGGAATTCAGGGAGTGATCACCTTTTTCCTTCTTGCATTCCATTGGATTTTTGTATTTCGTTGCTTTGTTAAATTCCTCACTTGCATGTGCTGTATGTGTTTTCCCAACAGGTGTGTGGCAAAACATTGCCTTGTGGTTATCATGCCTGTGAACAGATTTGTCATGCTGGCTCTTGTGGGGAGTGTCCCCGATCTGGCAAAAGGAGTTGTCCATGTGGAAAGTCAAGTAAGAATGTGTTTCTTTTCTGCCTATCTAGCATGCATCCAGTTCACCAATATAGCTAAGCTTCCTAAAATCTAAACTGCATTCAAATACAAGTTAAAATAATACAATAGCAGACTTTGGTTAAATTTAAAGTTTGCCCAGAATGAGGTTAGACACAAGACCTGCCTAGCCTAATTAAACTGGGCCCTTTATATAAAAACTGTAACTCCTTTTCTTGACATAAAGCCTTATTTTTCATGAAACGAGAGGTAAAAATGTAGCTTTCATTTTTTCAATTGTGTATAGTAAATGACAGAAGGTTTGCTGTTTTGTTCTGACTTAGAATTTTCTTTACCGTGTACGGAGGATGTGCCTACATGTGGAGACAGTTGTGACAAAGCTCTTGACTGTGGGATTCATAGATGTTCCCAGCGCTGCCACCGAGGTCCCTGTGAAATCTGTAGACAGGTTAGCATTTCTCTTCCAGTTCAGTCACATGTTTTTGAATAACTTTCCATTATTTCAGGACTTCTGAAGTACTTTATCTCCAATGAGCTTCCTTGAGGCAGAGAAAATAAAGATATGTTTCTTCTTTTAGCTGTCCTTTCCCTCTCTGAGCTCAGGAAACATGCTGTCTCCACTGCTTTGTGTCCTCAACCAAAAATAATAAGCTACCACAACCCCTAGCTCCTGTCCTTCAAATCTGGGGAATAGATAAAGTTCCTGTATTGGCTTTATGTGTGGGAACATGCTTAAATGTGGCCTGTTTTTATAGGCTTATCTGCTTTTTGTTGTGAGGATTCAAAATGTCCTTGCCTTAAACAATCCCATTGAAGAGTGTCCTTCAGAATAAGCTTGTTGATTATAACAACCGAGGCAGGAAAGGTAAACTTTCCCAAAGTCTGTCATCCACTTGGGTTGTTCTAAGAGGACATTGCGAGATTCCATGTTCTGTAGGCCCACTGGTAGCTGCTGCCCCTAATTTCAACCTCTGCTAGCTCCTCTACCTCTTAAGTTTCCTTTTTCTGATGGTATAGGCTTGTATCACCATCATTTTGGCTGCTACTTTCTTGAAAAGGCATATTCTAAACTACAGTTTCTTCCTCTTCTGAAAACGGTGGCCTTCCCAACAATCTCATGTTTCTTTCCTCCTGCATTTTCTACTGTCTCTTCTTGGGCCTAGTTCATACAAACAGATGAGAAGGTAAACAGTTTTCCTGAGGTCAGGTCAAATTAAGTTGTTGTTTCTATGAGGACGTGCCCCATCTTTTTGATTCTAGTTATTCCTATTACCATGAAGGGGCCTGTACAGAAGCTCTAGCCTGTGAAAGAGTTTCTTTCCGGCCTCTTGTCACGCAACATGCTAGACTCTTCTATACAGCTTAATTTCCACCATTGAATACTTTTATATGCTACTTTCCCCCCTCCTGAATTCTAATCTGTGATGAGTTCCATGCATTTTTGCTATCAGTGATGTGTCTTAATTTTAACATTAACATTAACATTTTAACATGGAAAGATCACGAGGCTACAAAAATAACAGATTGGCAAATCAAATTACAGGAATTGGTGGAGACGGCTCAACTGACTAGTAAACTCAGAGGAAACTCAAAGCAAAAACTTGCAGAAAAATGGGATTGTTATAGAAGATATGTTCAAAAATACAACAATAGTTTTGACTCCGTGCTAGCATTCGAGTGATAAAGGAACTAAAAGGAGGTAGACAACAATGAAGGATTTATTATGTTTTCAGAATGTATTGGAAAAATTATATAGAAAGGTTTATTGTTTTGTGTCCATTCAAATGTAAGATAAAATATATGCAAAGGGACTTGACAGGAAGTCAAAGTTGAAGAAATGAAGAAAAGATTTTGGAAGATAAAAGGGAAAAAAATATTTACTTTCATTATTATCATTTTGTGTGCTGGTGTGGGTGTCTGCACATATGTGTGTTTTTGTATGCAATGTTTGGGAGGAAATAAGATGGTAAATAACAAATAACAAACTAAATATTGATGTATGTAATTTTTATTTCTTAATTATATTTAGTGGTAGTATGGCTGTACAGTATTGTTTTTTGTAACATAAAATCATTCAATAAAAATTATTTATATTAAAAATAATAATTTTAACATGCTGAATGTACAACTCATAGCTTTAGTTTTCCTCCATTTGTACCCTAACAGGAAGTTGAAAAGCAGTGCCGCTGTGGAAAGCATACAAAACAGATGCCCTGCCATAAGCCATACCTTTGTGAAACAAAGTGTGCCAAAATCCGGGACTGTCAAAAACACCAGTGCAAGAGGAAGGTGAGTAGGTATTGAGGATATATCGCCATCCTTTTGTAGCTAGAGTCATTTGGAAAAGTTTGGTTCAACGTCCAAAAATGCTTCTGTTTCTGAGACACACAGCCTGTAAGCATGTGGGGGCAGCTGAGAAAGCCACAGCGGTTTTCAGCTTGCAGTGGCCTGGCTTGCACATCACGCTAAGCACAAACTATGGCTTACTGAGACCAGGCAAACATACTGGCTCAAAAGAGGAGCTTGCACCAGCTTCATATCGCTGTACAGTGGTACCTCAGGTTACATATGCTTCAGGTTAAATACGCTTCAGGTTACAGACTCCACTAACCCAGAAATAGTACCTCGGGTTAAGAACTTTGCTTCAGGATGAGAACAGAAATTGTGCTTCGGCGGCGTGGCAGCAGCGGGAGGCCCCATTAGCTAAAGTGGTGCTTCAGGTTAAGAACAGTTTCAGGTTAGGAACAGACCTCCGGTACGAATTAAGTTCTTAACCCGAGGTACCACTGTAGTCCTTTGGACTCACTTCAGCAGCTAAGTCAGGGTTTGACTTAGGGACGCGGGTGGCGTTGTGGGTTAAACCACAGAGCCTAGGACTTGCCGATCAGAAGGTTGGCGGTTTGAATCCCCGTGACGGGGTGAGCTCCTGTTGCTTGGTCCCTGCTCCTGCCAACCTAGCAGTTCGAAAACACGTCAAATTGCAAGTAGATAAATAGGTACCGCTCTGGCGGGAAGGTAAACAGCATTTCCATGCGCTGCTCTGGTTCGCCAGAAGCAGCTTAGTCACGCTGGCCACATGACCTGGAAGCTGTATGCCGGCTCCCTCGGCCAATAAAGCGAGATGAGCGCCGCAACCCCAGAGTCAGCCACGACTGGACCTAATGGTCAGGGGTCCCTTTACCTTTACCACTGTAGTCCTTTGGACTCAGTTCAGCAGGTAAGTCAAGGTTTGACTTAGCACATTGTCCGAACCCACACTTGTGGTTAAGCTCTTTCCTCCTTAACCATGAGTTGTAGACAGTAACAAACCTTAGCTGTAGCTCATGCTTATGGAGGCTCGAGCTTATAACAACTAGCTCAGGTTCGGACAACTGCTAGGCCAAACCTTGGCTTAGCTGCCATGCTGCGTTGAGCTAAATGGACAGGCAAGGAGCAAAAGGGTTGTCATCTCCTGCTTGGGAGCACACGTCAAGTCGTGGTTTGGCTTAGCATTACTTGTGATTGTGGCCTGTGACGGCTGTTTTGCTGTTCTTTTATGGGGGGAAAATCCCCCGCATATATTGGATTTCTTCGTTCTTCTGTATTGCCGTTCCACTCACAGAGAAAGAAATCGGGTTACAGTGGTACCTCGGGTTAAGTACTTTATTCGTTCTGGAGGTCCGTTCTTAACCTGAAACTGTTCTTAACATGAAGCACCACTTTAGCTAATGGGGCCTCCTGCTGCTGCCGCGCCGCCAGAGCACAATTTCTGTTCTCATCCTGAAGCAAAGTTCTTAACCCGAGGTGCTATTTCTGGGTTAGCGGAGTCTGTAACCTGAAGCATATGTAACCTGAAGCGTATGTAACCCGAGGTACCACTGTATTTAAGAATGGTCTAATTCAAAACTGATGCTTTTACAACACCTACACTGTGAAATACCTGCAGAAGGTGGCAGTAGCGATTCTTATTGGACTAGCTTGTTGGAGCAGTCAGAGAAAGGAAATATACTAGTTCTCTGATATGTATGATCTTCCTCCAGGCGGAGATGAAATAGCTTTCAAAGGCTTAAAGGAGCAAGGGGGTGGGGAGTAATGAAGAAGAGGAGTATGTTCTTTCTAGGTACTGAATGAATTTAGTAGTTCAAATCCAATAATCCAATATACAGGAGAAACTTGGAGGGTGAAGTACTTGGTGCTAGAAAGCTTTATTTGCTGGAGCATTGCTTTTTATATTCCATTTATTCCCACCCACTTTCCCTGGAGCACTTTCCTTACTCATTTATTTCATTTACAATATTTGTATCCCTCTTCATGATAGTGCTGTCTGGATGGCTCACAAGAAAACATTTAACACTGGTCTCTCATTGGTCCTTAACTCTGTCTTGTCCTTGTATTTAAGAGACGTCTTCAATTTTTCTTTCTTTCTTTTTTACTTCCAACCTTTTTCAGATGAACCATTTTACTGAGCTTTGCTAGCCTGTCCCTCCCCATGTGTTTTATGTGTCTGAGATTACAGTGCTGCCTTGCAAGACGAAATTAATTCGTTCCACGAGTTTTGTCGTCTTGCGATTTTTTTCGTCTTGCGAAGCACGGTGTCGGGAAAGTTTTGGAAAAGCTTCAAAAATCACCAAAGTCTTTAAAAACCTCAAAAAAGGCTACCACACCGCGTTCTATGAGTTGCTCCTCGAAGTCAAGTCGCAACTGTATTAACGGTGTTAAGAAAAAGGAAACAAACTTGCAAGACGTTTCCGTCTTGTGAAGCAAGCCCATAGGGAAAATCGTCTTGCGAAGCAGCTCAAAAAACAAAAAACCCTTTCGTCTAGCGAGTTTTTTGTCTTGCGAGGCATTCGTCTTGCGAGGTACCACTGTATAGGTTTTTGAAGACGAACTGTTTTTAGAGGTAGAAAGGAAGCTGATTAACTCAAATGTATTCAAGGTAACATGCAAAATATAATTGCAGTTTCATCAAAACCGTGCTAAAACAGGTGCTTAGTTGTCGGTGCTATAAAAATAATAATGGCAAAGTCTTCATTTTGGGCCAAGAATAGAAGGGAATGTGGTGAAACAGTTAAGAAAGATTGAGCTGTATATAGCAATCTGCTTTGTGTTAGGGCCAAACTAAAGAGGTTTTTCAAAAGCAAGAAGGAGGTGAATGTGCTGAGACTGAAAATCGCCTGTTTGAAAGTGCTGTAGGTACTAGTGAGGTACAATTGTTGAAACAGAATAGTAGATCTGCATGTAGAATCTGTGAGGTCTTTTTGGAGTACAATATACACAGGTCAAACGAAATGCTCAACAATAATACTTAGCCCTTAGATTGTTGAGGTGCTTGACACGAATCACCTTGGTAATATTTACGACACCCTTGTGACATAACTCAGTGTTTCCACCATAATGAAGTTATGGAGCTCAAGTTGAAATAATAGTAGCTCAAAATCATCTGGCTCAGTGTTTCCCAAACTTGGGAGTTCAGCTGTTTTCAGACTACGATTCCCATAATCTCTGACCACTGGTGTTGCTATCTAGGGACGATGGGAATTGTAGTCCAAAAACAACTGGGAAACACTGACTAGCTAGCTATTAGCCAAGGCAAGATTTGGACTATCCAGCTTTATGCTTTTAGCTCCTGCTTGACACCTGCTCTTACTTGGGACTCTCCTATCAGTTTCTTGTCAGAAAATTGTTATCCCTGCTTTAAAATGGACCAACACTCCATCTTCCTGTGTGAAACTGCTGAAATGCTTTGAAATGGCAAAGGATATTCTGAAGGCGCTTCCTTAAGAAAGGGACATCTCAACAAGTTTATTTTTCTTCGACACTTTATCATTTAAAAATCACACTGTTATGGTTTTCTTATTGACAGCATAATCCTTTGTGTGCTTACTCATTGGGGCTCACTCCCAGGTAATGCATAGGATTGCCACTTTAGCTAAAGTTTCTGTACTTCAAAACATTTGCGTGTGTGTTTCAGTGTTGTTCTGGAAATTGCCCACCGTGTGATCAAGCATGTGGACGAACTTTAGGATGTCGGAATCACAAGTGTCCTTCGGTGTGCCACAGAGGTAAGACTTAGCAGGCAATCTTGCTTGTAGTCTTTCATCCTGAATGGTACTTTAAACTTTATGTAGTTGGGTCTTTGTTGGTAATTGTTATAAAAAGGAATATTGTAATCTCTGTTTGCAGCCAATAGCTTTAATGTTGTTCAAATCATAGCATTTCTGAACCTATATACCGTATTTTTCGCTCTATAAGACGCACCAGACCACAAGACGCACCTACTTTTTGGAGGAGGAAAACAAGAAAAAAAATATTCTGAATCTCAGAAGCCAGAACAGCAAGAGGGATTGCTGCGCAGTGAAAGCAGCAATCCCTCTTGCTGTTCTGGCTTCTGGGATAGCTGCGCAACCTGCATTCGCTCCATAAGACACACACACATTTCCCCTTACTTTTTAGGAGGGAAAAAGTGAGTCTTATAGAGCAAAAAATACGGTATATATTTGAGGGTCCAATCCAGGACATTAATGTTTTTTCATAAAAACAGAGTGTAATGTGTTGATTAGCACTAGCCATGGTGGTAGAAATTATACTTGAATTAAATAATCAGCTGTTACTCTTTGGCTTCTTGAGCACTTGAACTGTTTGGGGCTGAATAAGTTGTCCATCTCTGTCTAAAGTGTGATAAAAATTTCTTTTTCTTTGCTATATATGCTTTATCAGTTCCACCCACTCCACATTTTTCATATTATGAAAGGATATTCATATTTGTTCCGACATACTCAAATACAAATGTTGAGCCTTTGTGTGGGCAAGGGAAATGTTTGCATCCCTGCAGTGTAATTTCTTTTTTTTTTTAAATGGCTTCTTATAAATGTCAGAAATCTGATGCTCACTTCTGACCTTTCAGAGAGAAAGGCGTTAACTCTTTTGACATTCAAAGCAGATTTGGGGAACATAAATAGCATGTTCTCTGGATGGAGTTTGTCCAGACCAATGTCTCCTGAATTCATAATACCATTGTTAATTTTAATTGTACTAAATGGATAACTTCTTATTTGGATCCAGGTAATTAATTGCAAAGTAGTTTTGCTATTGTAGATTGTTAAATGTGTTAAGTTTTTCCAAGGTTGGCTACTTGTATTGCTTGTAGGTAGCTGCTATCCATGTCCCGAGACTGTAGATGTGAAGTGCAATTGCGGCAAAACTGCTCTCAAAGTGCCATGTGGTAGAGAACGTACCACCAAGGCTCCCAAGTGCAAGGAGCCATGCAGGTTAGTATTAAATAACAATCTAATGCAAATAATTGTTTACTCCCCCTGAATATCAGACCACCGTGTGATATCGCAAACCGCTTTGGAAGTTCCCTAGCTTTTGAAACTAGTGTTTAATTCTGTAATGGCGTAATTAGGTCTTTTTGAGATTATTGGCTTCTCAGCAGGTGGAGCTACATTAATACAGTTTAGTGTTTTGAAAGAAGTATGTAGTGCACAGTAAGACTGCAACTTGCAACTCTTGAGAGGCATTTCAAAGGCTGGTGTTGCCATAGGAAGGTGCTGCTTTGAGTTCCTAATAGTTTTACAAGAGCAGTAGAACTTAAAGCAAGCTTCCCTTAGTATCTTGCAGCACAGCGGGGTGGGCGATGGGGTGTCAAGGTCGGCTTCCTTTGTAGTGGAGAGGGGGCAATTGAATTTAAAGCTTTCATAATAATATGCTTATTTTCAGTTATACAGGTTGAGCAGGAAGTGGTATGGTAGCTACACAAGTAAGGCTGTTAGTCCCAAAGCTGAATTATTCCTGTAGTAATAGCAGCACCCCTAAAGTTCCTAGGCACCTTATTCATTCCAGCTCTGAAAAACCACCAGTGTAAAGAATCTACGTTGGCTCCCAGTTCGTTTACGAGCACAATTCAAAGTTTTGGTATTGACCTTTAGAGCCCTAGATGGCCTCGGCCTTGTATACTTGAAGGAGCGTCTTCTTGACTGTTTCCTCACTGTGAGACATGAAGCTACAGGGAACCAGGCACAGAGCCTTCTCGGTAGTGGCGCCCTCCCTGTGGAACGCCCTTCCATCAGATGTCAAAGAGATAAGCAACTATTTGACTTTCAGAAGACATCTGAAGGCAGCCCTGTTCAGGGACGTTTTTAATGGTTGATGCTTTATTGTGTTTTTAATATATTGTTGGGAGCCGCCCAGACTGGCTGGAGCAACCCAGTCAGATGGATGGCATATAAATAATGAAATTATTATGATTATTTGTCCAAATTCAAGCATTCTCTTGGGGCACAACTTTATGTGGCTATAGTGTCAATGCTAAAGCCACACCAAGACTACATAAGAGAACATGCCTATAGCAATAGGGAAAACATCAATTTGAACTGTTTGATGCTAATATAATCCAAGCTGTCAAAAGCAAGCCCTGAAATGAACTTTGTACTGCTTCTGAGAGAGGGCTTTATTAGTAATTGGGAGAAGCCATCTTCATAACTGTAGCAAAGACTCAATAAGAGCTACCCTCTCACAGACTTGGCATCCATGCATTACAAGTGCATCCTTGGCTTGATGCTCCAGCTCATGTGATTTAATAGAGTGGGCAATCTACCAAGCATGTTTGAATCTGTCCCAACAAATCCTACACTTATTTGAAAATATGGTTGTAAGTTTAAAGCTTGCTAGATATAACTGTTTTCATTTTAAAACAATTGAGAAGCGGTGTGTTTTGTCTGTTGCTTTCTTTTATTTTCATTTGTTTTCTTTAAGTAAACAGTAGTGAAATACGATCGCCGTTGCCAGAGGAGAGAGCTGCTTTGCTGTTTACCATGTAGGCTAGGTTTCACCTAGTCCTTGCTATAGACTCTGCAGTTCTTTAAGAGTTCATTCTCCTGTTGCCGTTCTGGACGCTACTGCCTTCTAAGCCAGAAATGAGTTATTTTTCTCCCGCTAGAAACGAGTTATTTTCATAGTGATGTTACTTGATTATGAATGTTACGAAACCATTTTTAAAAATTTTCTCTGGAGATAATATGGATAGTGATATGCTTATATATCTTTTCATTCCATCGTGCCTGGAGCATAACACGTTTGAAAAAGGGATACACAAAGCAAGCAACTGTGTATATGACTGTTGTAAACCACTTAGAGCTCTTTTGTTCTAGTAAGTTGTTTTGTTAAAGATATGACTATAAACCAGTTTTTGTAGCAATTATTGACAGTTCCTGTTTTCATTTTAGGCAGCCACCTACCTGCCATCATCCTGCTCGAGAGAAACACAGCTGCCACTTCGGCCCTTGTCCTCCTTGCCGCCAGCCCTGCAAGAAAACCTTTGAGAAGTGTGGTCATTCCTGCCCTGCTCCTTGCCATGATGAAGCACTTGTAAAACAGACTGGTTCGGTGAGAGAACAATGTGATTGCTCCCCGTAGCAGTGTCACCACTTTCAGGGAGAAGTGTGCTGATTCCAAAGGAATCAGTCAATTGGTATAGCTCAGCTGGTAGAGCAAGAGACTGTTAATCTCGGAGTCAGAGGTTCAAGCCCCACTTTGGGCAAAAGATTCCTGCATTGCAAGGGGCTTGGACTAGACAATCCTCGCTGTCCCTTCCAACTCTATGATTCTGTGATTATTCCTTTCCATATAATCTTCCCACCTGAGATGTTGCTGGAACCCCTACAAAAGTGACAGCCTGTCAGGGGTTGGACTGAGGAGGAATTGTGGGAGCTTTTCTGAACCTTCCCAAGGGCAGGAGGGCAGTATTGATTTAGAACAGTGGTTTGCAGAGGGGCATAGTCCAGAGGGAAAAACCTGGGTGAGGAACAGCTAGAAGAGGAAACACCAGGAGAGGGACAGCTGGCAGATTCAGTGTCCTTGGACAGCATTCCTGACCCCCCTTCGCCTACCGTCTTTCCCTGAAAGTAAGACAACCCCCAAAAACAATACCTAGTGCATCTTTGGGAGCAAAAATTAATATAAGACACTGTCTTATTTTCGGGGAAACAGGGTAAGACTAGATGGGCTTTGAGAGTGATAGAACAGAGAGTGCAGAGCCAACAAGCTCGGATTACCAGATGTAGGAGTGACGTAGATAAATGGGGACAGAGGGGGTGAACCTTAACTGGGAGCAACGCCATTTCTGGAGAGAGATGCATTCCTTTGTCTCTTGCTGTGATTGTTAAAGAAACTTAACTGGTAAGAATGCTCCTTTTGTTTGATCTGCTTATTTACTGCCTGACACAGCTGTACTGCTATCATTAAGAACTGGTGATTGGTTTTCATGACTTTAATGATTGTGGTGCGTTGAGTTCTAAAAAGTAAAGGACGTTTGTTGAGATTGGGGGTAGGAGTAACCCTAGACCATCTAGGCATAGTTAGCTTTTATAATATGTGCTGTATAACAACAAATTTCTTTCATTCCAGCATCAGCCAGCAGGCCCTTGGGAACAGTCAGCTGAGCCTACATTTATTCAGACAGCATTGCCTTGCCCTCCATGTCAAGTCCCTATTCCAACGTGAGTATGAAAATATGCTTTGAAATGACATATTTCTATGTGTTCGGGTGGCGTGGCCCTCCCTGTGCTGTGACTTGCTGTTATCAAAATGCCTTTTCTTTAAAGCTGTTTCCGGAGGTAAAGCCAGATCAGTTGAAAAGACTAAACAGCTGGAGATCCGTAGTCTAGTACAGTCATACCTTGGTTTTCAAATAGCTTAGTTCTCGAACGTCTTGGCTTCCAAATGCCACAAACCAGAAGTGACTGTTCCGGTTTGCGAACTATTTTTGGAAGCCAAATGTCCAATGGGGCAGCTTCCGATTGGCTGCAGGAGCTTCCTGCAGCCAATCGGAAGCCGCACTTTGGTTCCCAAATGTTTTGGAAGTCGGAACAGAATGGATTCCGGAACCAAGGTACGACTGTACGTGTTTGGCTGTGAGCTACAAAATTTGCTCATGGTAGTCCAGCAGAGTTCGTGTTAACTTGGTGGAGCTTGCGCAGAAGAATGTCGCAGTGGATTGTGCCTGTCTGAGAGTGCCCAAGTTGTGTGCAAAGTTCAGCATTACTGGACTTTGCCCACAACCTGTGAATTGCATTTGTTGCATATTTATACACACAAAGTATATCTGAGAGTTTTCTATTCACTAAACAAAAGAGAGTACCACTCCAACAGCTCGCTTATCTGTCTGATAGCTACAATAGATTTATTTTTATTATGTTTATCGTACCTTTCTTCCGTTATATATCCACATGTGGTTCCCAGGTGGTCTCTCATCCAGATACTGACCAGAGTCGGACCTGCTTAGCTACAGCATCATGGTGGCCTCCTTTGCCTTCAGACCATACTGTGTCAGGCCCCACCCCCACCCAACAACCCTGGCCAATCCTTCATCTGTCTATGTAGCATGCCAGGGACAAGTAGACTAAGTAAATAAATAAGAATTTTCTAAATTTCTCAGATGTACTTGCACCTGAGGGAGTTGGGAAGAGGAGAGGAAATCACAACACTGGAGCCTGCCACCGTGTAACGAGTTTGGTTGTGAAATCAGACCCTGTTGTGCTTCCAGTGACATAACTGGGAGCTCATTCTTGGTTATTGAGAGACCACCTTCCAGGGTTTTTTGGGGGGTTGGAGTGGGGAGCCCGGTTATGAATGTAACTAGGTCAACCATCACTACAATTTACTTAGTACTGTAAAAGCTATTGCTCACTGTTAGAAGAAAACACATCTTTTCTTTCAATTGACATTGTAACAAATGGCCACATTCTGATGGCCATACTTGCAGCTTCTAATTGGCCAATGAATTTCAGGTGGTTGATTAATTCAGAGAGTGATATTCAAATTGTTTGACCTTTTATTTATTTATTTCCTTTATTTTGTTATTGTGTATTTACAGGCAATGCCTTGGGAAACATGAGGTGAGTCATAAAAACTGTAATTTTTCAGATTTACTCTGAAAAATTTATAATTTGGTTTTAATCGGAGGTTTCGAAATGAAGCCTTTGCGTTTAATTGGTTTGCCATGAGGTTCGTTTGCAACTGGAAGTATTCTGCTTTCCGCCTTGAAAGCGACAAATTGTTTTGTCATTTGAGATCTGCTGGGATTTCTATCAAGACTATTGCAAACTTGTTTTAGGAAATTTATAAGAGTGAACTACTTATTAACCTTGATGAAACTTTAAACTTTTGACATTGCGTTTCAAGAAATGTGGAATGCTGGCAAAATGTTCTTCTGTTCGTGTTTACTGGGATGATTTAGGATGAGCTCTGGTTTTATAGCGCTTGCTATTTTATGGCTTTTCCAAAATGTTTGGAAATGTTTAAACGATCTCTTCTCATGCAGTTTATATCGCTGGCCTTATACGTTCTGTGGCTGTTTGAGGAACATCTGCAAAATATGTTTTGTAAATTGATATTAACTATCACCTACGCTAGTATGATGCCTAAAGTGGAATATGAGAGCTCGAATTGTAAGGCAGGGATGTTATGACTTTCAGCTGAACGTTACACAGTGAGGCCCTGTGGTGATCTGAGAGCTTTGTCTGAAGTTATTTTAACATTTGGTAGTATAAATGAAAACAAGCATGAACACTGTCTTGAATTAAGCAATGGTAATAATTTTCTATGGGAAGTTACAAAACAATGAAGATCTGAGTGGATTTATGGTTTTTGTGCGGAGGATAAGTGACTTGACAATCTAGGCACAACAAATCCATTATAAAAATAATAATTTTGGGGTAAATCTATACTTAAGTATATTTTGTTAACTCAAGTTCTTTCAGTAGTTAACATAAAAATGGTTAAAGTACAATATGCACGGTAAAAGAAAAATGAACAGTATAAAACCAATTTCAGCAGTAAAATTAAATAATAAACAGGTCTTAACTTTAAAAAGGCCAAAACCTCAGAATGGTTGAGCTAAAATGAAAATCTGGTCCCTTTTTGAAATGCATTTATGTGATGAGAATGTGACAGGCTTTTGTTCTGCTGAAGTAGCGTTATTGGCTTCTGCACAATGCAGTTTGTGCAAGCCAGGTGAGCTAGCCCATATGAATGTAAGATTGAGTTTCAGCTAAACCATAATTGTGATAAAAAAGTGAGGACTTCACTAAAACATCGTTGTATATCCTCCTTCCTAATTGAGTTTCCCGTTCAGGGTTCCAGCCAGGTATTTCCTCTGATCAGGACATCCCACTCTTTTCTCACCCTGATTAATCACATGATTAATGGATTGTGTAAGGGTTGTTGTTTCGTTCTTCTCTCTCTCCTCCCACCCCCCCAATTCCCCCACCCCCCAAAAAATGTGTGTGTTGTTTGTGCAAGCCTTAAGGTTCTTCCCAAGCATGCTGATAATTCCCTTTTGTTTTTCAGTTGCCTGCTTTGGGCCACAGTGCCGGCAGCTCTCTCAACCTCAATTAGTTGTTAGGAGGAGTGGTTTATTAGACTTCCAAGTAGTCCAATGTAACAGAAATGAATTTAAGTGAACTCTTAACAGTTATGCACAATTGTACAGTCTTTGGAGCAGTGGACCATGTGATTTCAGATGACTTGGGGAAATTTAGAAAACTGAAAGTTTATTCAATACAAACTAGTATTGGCTTAGGCAGTAGATTTCCTCAATCTCTACTGGAAGTGAATTCAGGAACGCCATGTGGCTATAACATCTTCTCAAATCATGTGTTAGATCTCATCAGCTAATGTGTAGGACTCAAACAAAACATTGATCCTCTTGTGCTTTGTTCAAGTCATGTAATACTCCATGCTTTGAAACGAATGCTTAGATGGAACAGTCTGAAAGTAATTGACCGGCCACTTAGAAGGCTAGTATTCTAAATGTCACGTTAGTGGGTCTGCAAGTGTTGTAAGCTACATTGGTCCGCTACAGAGAATACCATTTGTGTACACGTGTGGGTGGATTGATATTGACCTACTAGTCTTGTCATATTACCCCATTCATGTGGAGAAAGTCAAGGTAGCTGTGTTGACTCATGAGACAGATGTCAAAATCTGTCTTAGGGCAATGTGTTTATTAGGCAGACAATATAATGTAAACTTTCACATTCTCCAGAATTTTTCATCGGGATAGATGGTAAACAGATTGAGACAAGGGAGGAAAAGGTTGGCTGTTGATGGAGTCTGCATCTGAAAATAGTCTTAAAATGGACGATGGGAGGAGGCAGCAGGCTCTGTTAGGTATAAGGCAGGGTTCAGGTTGCACTTGCGGATGTTTTGAAGAAGGAACATCCATCCATATTAGAGAATATAATATTCAGCTGTTACTCAGATCTGTCTCCATCCTTAGGTGAAACTTACACCTTTCTTACTCCTATTTTTCTCCTACCAAAGAACCTGTGTGTTTCACCTGACTCAAGCTATATTGATGTCATTTTAACTACTACTACAGTAGCTTCATATAGATGCCATGAATACTAACAGTAACATTTGATTCAGTGCGTTTTGATTACATAATTATAATTCTTTATGGGTCACTTTGCTATCACATTGAAATTACTATCAAATTCTAATGTTCTGTAAATGCATGTGATTGATTTTCCTCTTTGGCATAAATTGCATCTCTTAGGATGCTGGTTTATAACATCTTCATTTTCCGGTTTCTAAGAACGCAAAGAAAGCATACCAATTTTAATTATTGGCCTATAAGCCAGTAATGAAATTACCAAATCATAAATGCTGCCAGAGGGGATACTTTGCTTCCATGGTGATTGCTTTTAATTTTGATTTGGTCAAAAACCCAATTTCTCATAGATGTATAATAATGTGCACATCAACTTACTGGGGTTTGACAAACTTATTTTCTAAATTTATACTTTTAAAAATGCAGATTTTAAAAAAGCCCTTCTTGGTACAAGGGAAAGAAATGAGTTATATATTTCTTAGCTAGATAGCCTCAGACTACTTTCTTGTTCAATGTTGTTTACATTTCTTGGCACAGAGTGTGGCCTTTCATTTTTATTCCAGACTTCAGCAAGAAACTTCATGTTTTTTTAATTACTTTTCTGTTACACAAACATGCAAACAAGAAGGAGAAGACATAACATGCAGTGCAGACCATATTGGCAATTGCAATGTTTTGAAAAAGTTTAACATCAAATACGTAGCTGTGGTTGACTCATCTCTGTGTCAGTTATTCCAGTGTAAATAAGATATACATAAGGGAATCTGGGAACTTTTATAAAATCGGGGGAAGTTTGCACAGACTTATCATTCTAGATGGTGATTTACAGCTAATTTGTCACTAGAGCCAAGTAATGCTAAACTGCTACCTCTGTATTCATTACTTTGCACATTCTTCCTTCTTTGTCTTTTGGTTCTGTTACAATCTCTCCTACTAAGACTTAAAATTAGCACTCGTCTGGATAATAGCAGCAAGCTTATTTTGTATCTTCTGATTTCTCATCTCCATCCTCTTAACACCTGTTCTACCTTCTGCTGTTCATCTTCCTTGTTCTGGTCATGATTTTGATGTGTTGCCTTTTGCTGCTCCCTCTTTTCCATTGCTTGTCTTTTCCTCCAGTGAGTTCACATTTTCAAGACATTACATTTCTTCTTTCTTGCTTCTGTTTTGCTGTGACATCACCAGAATTGCAAGCAGGGATAACCAACATGGTGCCCTCCAGATGTTGCTGAATTCCAACTCTCATCAGCCCCAGCTGGCGTGACCAGCATTCAAGGATGATGGGAGCTGTAGTCTTTATGCAGAAATAGGTGCCAAAACTGTAGGCGCCCTTGTCCATTTCAAACAACAAAAAAGCTACACTTCAGTAACATGCGATCTAGTTTGCATAAATTATTCCCCATTCCTTAACACTTGTGTTGTAATATCATGCTGAAATGCCATTAATTCCACATCTTTTCAGAACAATTTGCTGGCACAGTAAATTTCAGTGTTGGACTGTAAACACTCCAGTAGAAGTCATTTTTATACTGCTTTCTCATTATAATAGGATTATTCTTGCTATCCTGCTGCTTATATAGAGCCAGGCTTTTTGTTCGTTAGCTGAAAAGCTATTTTGAGTGATGTTTTAATTCAAATTTCTGACCATGTTCCAGGATGCTGACTCCAATACATTGTTGCAGCCAATGTGTGGCTATTGCAAAAAACAGTAGTTTTTCTTCACCTGGTAATATTTAGTAATATTAAACACAGTGGTGCCCCGCAAGACGAATGCCTCGCAAGACGAAAAACCCGCTAGACGAAAGGGTTTTCCGTTTTTCGATGTGCTTCACAAGACAAATTTCCCTATGGGCTTGCTTCGCTAGACGAAAAAGTCTTGCGAGTCTTGCGATTTTTTTCGCTTTCCCCCCCTTTTTCTAAGCTGCTAAGCCGCTAATAGCCTTTTAGCCGCTAAGCCGCTAAGCCTTTAATAGCTGCTAAACCGCTAAACCACTAAAAGCGCTAATCCGCTAAGCCGCTAATAGGGTTGCTTCACAAGACGAAAAAACCGCTAGACGAGGAGACTCGCGGAACGGATTATTTTCGTCTTGCGAGGCACCACTGTATGTGACGTGTTGTTAGTTTCCAGACCTTACAAATGACCATTTAAGTGGAGAGGTGTCAGCTGAAGGCCAACCACTATTGTCTGTGAAGTTAGATCTTTATTCCAAGAAACCAAATCAATGCAGGCCTCGTGACCCCAGCAACTCTTCCCCAAAGGTCTTGCCTCGATGAGGCAGTTGCAAGGACTGAAGGTCCCCATCTTCCCACCACTCTCTTAGACTCCTTCCCTGGGTTATTCCCCAGCCACCTGAGGCTCCTTTGCCTTGCTTCTCTTTGTTCCACCCTCTTCATGGGAGACCGGAGAGCAGCCTGCCTCCATTCTGCCTCTTGACCCCCCCCCCCTTTCTAGCCTCCACCTCTGATTCAGCCCCTTCCTGCTCGCTAAACCCTATTACCTCTTCAGCTTCTGACACTTCCTCTGGTCCCTCTGCTCCCTCTTCTACCTCTCATCGTTGTTCCGACACCAATCCCCTGGCTCTGAGCCTTCTTCCCCTGGGGGTTCCTCAGCTGTTGCCTCACACCACTGCTCTGCATCCAGCCAGTCCATGACAAGAAGGTGCAGGAAAGCTTGCAATGAGATCATGTTGCATTACTAAGCATTATGTCAGGGGTTATGACACGGGTGGCGCTGTGGGTTAAACCACAGAGCCTAGGACTCGCCGATCAGAAGGTTGGCGGTTCAAATCCCCGCGACGGGGTCTGCTCCCGTTGCTCGGTCCATGCTCCTGCCAGCCTAGCAGTTCGAAAGCACGTCAAAGTGCAAGTAGATAAATAGGTACCGCTCCAGCGGTAAGGTAAACAGTGTTTCTGTGCACTTCTCTGGTTCACCAGAAGCGGCTTAGTCATGCTGACCACATGACCCGGAAGCTGTATGCCGGCTCCCTCTGCCAATAAAGCGAGATGAGCGCCACAACCCCAGAGTCGGTCACGACTGGACCTAATGGTCAGAGGTCCCTTTACCTTTATGACACATCAGGTCTAGGAACCAAAAGTGACTCTCGAGGCCTCTGTCCCCCTCGGGGACTCATCCCAGGCCAGACACCTTCTTGAGTCACATCCCTTGCACTTGAAGTTGCTGTCCATCTAGCATTTCAAGTTTCTTCATAAGGAAACCAGGAACTTAATTTGTATCCCAAGGTAAACCCAAATTTTGGAAAAGAAACTTAAGTCTTTTTTAAAAAGTATGCTGTAACATACAGTGGTACCTCAGGTTACATACGCTTCAGGCTACAGACTCCGCTAACCCAGAAATATTACCTCAGGTTAAGAACTTTGCTTCAGGATGAGAACAGAAATCGTGCGGCGGTAGCGCAGCGGCAGCTGCAGGCCCCATTAGCTAAAGTGGTGCTTCAGGTTAAGAACAGTTTCAGGTTAAGTACAGACCTCCAGAACAAATTAAGTACTTAACCTGAGGTACCACTGTATTTTTCTATGGTGGTTCTCTCCCTCCCTCCCTCTCTCTAATTTGACATAAAGTCCAAGAGTTTCTGACTTCATTTTGTTTTCACCTTCCACTGCCAGTATCGTTGACTTATACCAAGCCTAATGTTTGCTGAAAGAGGAACATATAAATTTATATTGGAGGAGGATGTATTATTTATATGAACGTGGGGTCCCCCCCCCGCAATCTGTTTCCTGAAGGAAACATTTTCTTCAGTATTTTTGCTAATTCTCACCTCTCCCTAAATGGATGTTGGCTGGTTCCTCTGTTCTAACTCTTATCGTCCTTCTGTGAGCTACCTTGATGTTTTGGATTTGTGAAAATGTTTGTTTTTAGCGGAAGTAATAATTTGAAGAAATTGCAGCTAAGCAGAAGATACTGGAACTTCAAAGCATTCCTTACATGCTGTTCTTTCAGGCATGGAAATGGATTTGGTGTTAGAAGCTAACAGCAGAAAGTCTTACACAGCCCAGTTGCTTGTGCTCTTGGTGGATGTGACTGTACTCAATTCTCTGACTAAAAAGCAGATTGTGAGGGGAATTGCAGATGTGGTTTGTAGCAAGCCAGCCATCTAGTTACAACTTAATTTAGCAGGAGAGTTTTGTGTAGCTCCTTCCATGACTTTATTTCTCTATTTTACCTCCTCCTTAGACCCCTCTACAGTCTACTCCAAACTGGTGCCCTTCCATCGACCCCACACATCATGGTTAAGGATGGTGGCCATCACAGTACAATATATGGAGGGCACCAGTTTGGGGAAGGCTGAGCTACATGTTCCTGAGACAGTGCAATAGATGCTGACCTTCAAGCTTTCTCACCTGTATGTTCCAGGAGCTGTGGTTCAATATTTACTCATGGCTTTTCAGCATGTTTCTTAACACGCAAGCTGTGTAAACATGCTCTAAAGTAAAAGCACATGTAGAAGTTTTCATTTGTTCCTGGAACTTCATGGGACCAAACCCAAAGTTAGTTTCTGCCACATCGCTCAAGGTCTAAGCAAAGTAGATTTAGCGTCTTGTCCTATTCCAGTGTAGGGCTAAATAATTTTTCCCCTGGCAGGACCCTACTGTGTATAGAATGATTTTTTAAAAGCCACTATGCCCATCAATTACAGAAGTAGGTATTAATTGGAAAGCCAGAGTGGTGTAATGATTAGGGTATAAGACTAGGACCAGGGAAATCCAGGTTCAAATACCCACTAAGCCTTGAAACCCACTGGGTTGGGACAGCCACTACTTCTCAGCTTTACTTACCAAAGAAGATAGTTTGTGGAATGCTCTCCCCAGAGAGGCTCGCCTGGCGCCTTCATTAAATATATTTAGGCACCAGGCAAAAACATTCATCTTCTCCTATGCCTTTGGCTAATTAAACAATCACTGGCCTTTTAAACTGTGTTGTGGGGTGGTGTTTTTGTTTGTTACTATGTTTTTCTGTTTTAGATTGCAAACTACCCTGTGATATTCGGATAAAGGGAGATATAAAATGTAATAGCAAAGGGGGCATGTATGGTGCCTTGAGCTCCTTAGAGAAAAGACAGGCTGTAAGTGCCATGTTTTGTTGGATTGTTTAGAATATAAACTTTTAGAATGTAGCTGATAAAAGAGGCAATGTATACTCAAATGTGTACATCTGGAGGATTTTCTTAGTTCTGATTGGACTTAACTGCCTGATGCAGAATCATCCCACACTAACAAGTTTCAGTTGTCCCATGGCAAATTGAACTGATGGATCTTGTGTTATCTACTGGATTTTATGGGATAGTCATTGCTAAGGTTTGTAACTAGGGCTGCAATCCTATACACAGTTACCTGGGAGTACCTCCAACTGAACTCAGTTTGACTTACTTCTGAGTAGACAAGTATGAAATTGTATTTTGCCTGTTCAAGCTTATTTTATCATGTATTATTATGGATTTTAAAACCTATAATGCAAACATGTAAGCTAGTGGCAGTTTTGAAGGGAATATTTTTCCAGAGTTTCAATTGCACAGCTTCCAAGAATACAACCTTATACCAAAACAAGTTATCAGAGGGCAAACTCTAGAATGTGTATTTCATCATAACCACTGATCTCCAGCAATATATCTGCCACACTTCAGAAAACCTTTGAGGAGTCCAATTATTGTCAGCATTACTTAAGTGTCAAGTTCACCCCAGTTCCTGTTTGTGCATGTTTCTGTACTTTTCCTTCTGTCTCAAAGAGAGAGAGAGAATTATGGATTGTCTGCCTTGTCTGGAATATCTTTAGTTCTGATTTGGATGCTTCTCGAAAGCAGAATTGATACAGAGTTTTCATATACTTTTTCGTAATTCTGTTATGCCCATGTGCACATGGGCAAGTTTTAATTCTTATTTTATGGAAACTGTTGAACGCTGTCCACAGTGGTCCCCATACAAGTTGTCTTCCATCTTTCAGGTGAGTCCATTGGCCTGTCATGCTGTGGGACCCTACTCCTGCAAAAGGTTGTGTGGAAGGCTCCTTGACTGCCAGAATCATACTTGCATGAAGGAATGCCATAAAGTTACTGAAACAGATAGTAACAACGATGTCCATAAGGTAAGCTTGACCTTTCTTGAAGCAGAGCAAAAACACCTTGCTCTCAGGTGCTGCAAAATGCAACCAGCTCAGATGCTTTTAAATGTTTTTGGTGAATGGTTCAGTTAGGTTTGACTGTCCATATTAAATGGCAAGGGGTGTGCATGAGAAAGCACATGGTTGTACATTAAATAATAAAACATGCCCATTTTTCAGTGGATTGTGGAGTCTTGTGCAGTTAAAATTTTATCCAGAAATAATATGTAACAGTCTTGCACGGTTTCTGTTCTTCATGGAAGTTCCTTGTTGGAATTTTAATAGTGTGAGTCAGTTGATAATGCCAAGCAAAATATATGAAATGGAAAGCAATAGCACTTCATATTACCATTGTGACAATTATTTCTTATACCATTATTGCTCTACTTTTTAAACTGTTGACCGGAGAGATGTTAGGTATCCACCACAACCCATAAGACCTCTTTCTTCAGCAACAATTGTCAGTTCAGACATCATCAGTGTACATGTGAAGTCAGTTTTTTAAAAAAAATATTGGAAGCCCTTTTTGTTCATTATAAAGATAAAGAAATGGATATGACTTTATTCTTCTAATATTTTATCATTATTTAGCTTCTGACAGTTTAAACTACAAATACCAAAACAAAATAAACATCAGATAAAAAGAACAATACAGCACAATTTTCCAGGTTTCTGATACCCATTTTTGTTTTTATTACTGATCTGGTATTGATTTACATCATTTTTGTTTCACGTAATATTTATAAATATGTGTACAGTATAGAAAACTAAAGCAACAACGTTTTACCTCTGAGTCTTTGGCAGTTTCCAGCTGATGTCTTCCCTATTCACAAAATGAAATAAAAGAAAAGCCATATATTTTCAGAACCATTGCTTTCATTTGTAGCCTTTGACATCTACATTATTTTACCTAATAATCAAATTGTTGACTATAGCTTGTGGTTAGTAAAGAGAGTGAAACCATGATCCCAGGTTTGGGCAAAACACTATGACAAACTTTGGCTTACCTCAGCGTGGTGTGGGAATGAAAAGGACCGGGGGGGGGGAGCAAAGTGCCTGTGAGCCCCCCCCCCGAGCCCACACATTCACTGGTCCCAGTAAACCAGGCAAGGCCAAACTTGGCCCTCCAGATGTTTTGGGACTACACTTCCCATCATCCCTGCCCACTGGTCCTGTTAGCTAGGGATGATGGGAGCTGTAGTCCCAAAACAGCTGGAGGGCCAAGTTTGGCCATGCCTGCAGTAAACCTTAGTTAGTCTTAACGTGTCACTGTTTTTCAGCCTGACCTTATCTCATAGGGTTGTTATGAAGATAATATGATGAGAGGGGAGAGTCGGTTGCTGGGGAGAGAGGGGTGCACAAGACTTTGGCAAACCCACCTAATGGAATGAATGCTGGCAAGCAACTTCACTTCCTTTATGTGTGTGTGACTCTAAATAACTGTCATTCCCTAATGAGGTTTTTTTTTTTTTTAATTGAACCACTTGTGGAAACAGACTTGTTTCCTGGACACTGTGCTAAAGGAGGCTAAAATCTCTTAAGTAAATTGCCCCGCTGAAATAATGTTAAACCTAGTTACAGTGGATACAAATAAAGATATTTAACCTTTAAAGATTGTCCTCTTATCTGTGGTGAGGAATATGCATCCGTTCCTCTAACATGCTCCTTTTCAGCTGTTTGTCGAATAGATTCCTGTCTCGAAAAATTATTTGTTGCTAAGAAGACTATAAAAGTACAGAAATCATACTGATGAATGATGTGTGTTGTGCTGTCATTCACTGCCCTTGATACTATGTACTTTATGGCAGAAACTAAAAACAGAAGGCTTTCTTGAGTAGTAATTTTTGGCTTTTTGTGGGGGGTTTTTTAAACTTCTTGAATCCAATATATATTTGAACAGTGACGCCTTAATGACTCAAATTAATGTCTTTTGGTACTGTGCAGGTGAAAAGCAAGAAAAAGTTTTGCTTTGTACTCAAATGCCATAGTTACAATCACATAACAATTTCGTTCGTTTTAACCTTTTTGAGATTGACATTTGGTGGCATTAAATGTCATTTGCTTAGTCTCCACCTTTACTTCAGCTCTTGTTCTAATTCCCCTTTTGAAATTCAGTGCCGACTAGCTCAGCTACTTGTGACTGACAAGAGGGTCCTGTGTGGTGTTCTGGTGGTTTCGTATATAATACTGCATGCATATGTAATAATAATAATAATTAAGGTAAATGCATCTTAGTAGAGGAATTTAGCTAAATGCTTGGTAATGGGGTGGGGGGAGTGAGTTTGGAATGGTAGTGAGCGGATGAGAGTTTAAAGGGGAGTTTGATGGTGGGACAGTTAGAGTTCATTTGAGAGTTGCATGGAGAGTGGAGTTAGTGTGGAGTCCGGGAGTCTGTGGTCGATAGTGTAAGAGCAGGGTTACTTTATTAATAGAGCACCAGTATTACAGTAACCGGACGTGGGTGGCGCTGTGGGTTAAACCACAGAGCCTAGGACTTGCCAATCAGAAGGTCGGCGGTTCAAATCCCCGCGATGGGGTGAGCTCCCGTTGCTCGGTCCCTGCTTCTGCCAACCTAGCAGTTCGAAAGCACATCAAAGTGCAAGTAGATAAATAGGTGGGAAGGTAAACGACATTTCCGTGTGCTGCTCTGGTTCGCCAGAAACGGCTCAGTCATGCTGGCCACATGACCCGGAAGCTGTATGCTGGCTCCCTTGGCCAATAAAGCGAGATGAGCGCCGCAACCCCAGAGTCGGTCATGACTGGACCTAATGGTCAGGGGTCCCTTTACCTTTACCTATTACAGTAACCATTACTGTCTATTTAATAAAGTGACAAATAAGATAAAGGCTGAAACCATACGCTTATGTACACCCAAGTAATCAGACAGCCCTTGTTGATTATTTCCATTTAATAAATTATTGCATTAAACCACACACTGTTTATTTAGGTACACTAGGGTGGAGTAGTCAGATAAATATTATCTGTGGTGGCAGCAGGAATAAAAGGGAGTTTTAGAAATACCCATCAAAAACCCAGCTCAGACCTGTGCATCCTGTTAAGAGGGAGTGTGGGGAGTGCCTGAGCATCTCATGGCAGAGGCAGGATTTGGGGTGGGTGGGTGGCATGACAACCTGCAACAAAACGTTGCAGTATTTAATTGCCTCCTAATAGGTGTGCTGCTGTTTAGGGTGCTGGCCAGCCAGCCATGCTTTCCTTCAGCAGACCATTCCATCCAGTTTTCAGTTTTTCTGTTCCACGTTCTGTGGCTGCTGAGCATTCTCAGTTCTCACGGGCTGTTTTTGGAAGGTGGTTTTTTTTCAAAATGTACTTCTGAAAACTCTGCATATCCCAATTGCATCTTCCAAATGTTTTGATGTTTCCCTCTTGTTTCTGAGTTTCTTGGGGCTGCAGTCCTATTGGCATTTGGCACCTGAGTTTGTCGTGAGAAGGTGCAATTACAGGGTAATTCTGTATTACCTTTAACTTGCTGTTCATTTGCATTTTTTAAAACTTGTATTCTAGCCAACTGCAGAAGCCACAGTTAGCAACAGGGAAGGGATCTTGCAGGTATATTTTGCTATGATTTTGGGGGGGCGGGCGCTTCACATGTAATGAGGAATCGCTGCCAGATGACCGTGAAAGAGTGTGCTGTTGGTTGCCTGCAGTTCTAAGTAACCTATGAAGCTGCTCTGTGTGACTCCTAGAAACGAGAATAGTGTGCTGTTTTTATACCCTTGTTTTTTGTGTACTTTTGAAACATTGCAGCTTGATTTTGTGATTTGCCTTCCTTTAAAAGCAAAAGGTAATTAGGTTTGTTTACTTAACCAAGTGCAACCATGGTTTTTTAAAAAAGAAGGGTTATTGAACTAATAAATTGTCCAAAGAACAAATAATTCCATCACTTCATTTTCCCGTGTTACTAGGCAAGTCAAGAATGTTCTCAGTGTGAAGAAGAATGCTCCAAGCCACGACCACCTGGGTGCCCTCATTCATGCCCCCTGCCTTGCCACCCTGGAGATTGCCCACCGTGTGCCCAGATGATACGGATGAAGTGTCACTGCAAACTCACAAGCTTGTACATTGAATGCATGTAAGTAATTAAAGGAGACTCTGCTTCAGCTTTGAAAATGTAAAATACTATGCAGTGTGTATGCTGCCTTAGGGAAGAGCTTTTCTCCCCCCTGCCTTTCTTCTGGGATGTTGGAAATGGATAATTATTATTATTATTATTATTATTATTATTATTATTATTATTTATACCCCGCCCTCCCCAGCCAAAGCTGGGCTCAGGGCGGCCAACAAACAATAATAAAAACAAGTTGAATGAATACAACTTAAAAACAAGATTAAAATACAACATTAAAATATTGAAACATTAAAATATTAAAATGCAGCCACATCACAGGAGGAGAAAGGAATAAGAAAGAAGAAAGAAGGGGAGGCAATCAAATTGGCTCCAAGCCCAAAGGCCAGGCAGAACAACTCTGTCTTACAGGCCCTGCGGAAAGAAATCAGATCCTGCAGGGCCCTGGTCTCATGAGGCAGAGCGTTCTACCAGGCCGGAGCCAGTGTTGAAAAGGCCCTGGCTCTGGTTGAAGCTAATCTAACTTCCTTAGGGCCGGGGACCACTAGGGTGTTGCTGTTTATGGACCTTGAGGCTCTCCGTGGGGCATACCGGGAGAAGCGGTCCCATAGGTACGAGGGTCCTAGGCCGGTGCAGCAAGAAGCCTGTTTAAACTGGCTTAGAGGCAACTGTGTCTGCCTGCTTGGTCTTTCCAACATCTGCACATGAAATAGGGGCGCATATCCATAGCGTTCCTGTGCTGGCAGGCTGGTTTTAGCAACTGCCTTGCCACATGCAGTTAGAGCCATTCCTGAAGGGGATTCTGCAGACTACCTACTGGAATGCTGGGAAGAGAAACCCTGAGAAACTGGTGCAACTTGAGGCTTGTTTGAGCAATTCTAACCAAGAGAGACACACAAGGAGGTGTGGAAAATGTTTGCCCTGGAGATCACGCTAGCCAGTAAAGTAGCAGGGACTTTTGGCCCATTGGACAGCCAGCTTATAGGATCTTGCTCTACATCCATGTTACTGACATATTTTGGCATGGTGTTGAACAACAGTGGAGGACTTTGGGCTTTCAAATTTCCGTGGTGCCCTGTGCGATGCCAAAATTTGCCCCTCCCACCCTCCCTGCTGTTCCCTCTTAGTTTGGTACCCAGTGAGGGCAAACCAGTTGCCCTCCCCTAAATCCGCCTCCGTGAAGAAGCCCAGATGTTGACATAAGCACCACATATGCTAACCATTCTGAGATAATGTGCTTCCCCCTGTCATAAGAGCGTATTCACTGAACACACATTGACCTCATTCACATGTAACACTAAACCAAACCATGGTTTAATGTAAACATCTTGGCTCCTGATGGGGAGATTGCAGCTACTTTGCTCTGGTTCTGCTGTGCTAAGCTAAGCTATGATTTGGCTTTGCATGTTGTCTGATCCTGGGCTCATGGTTTAGCTTACTCCAGACAAACCATGGTTATAGCTTATGGTTTCTCTGAAGAGAGCGAAACCAAAAGCTCAGGTTCAGTGAATCTGAGTTTCTCTCTCTCCCGCCTTGGTAAAAGCAGTTTGTTCCTCCTGGCTCTCTGTTCTTCTGTCAGTTAAGTGTTTCTCTTCTGCAGTCTTTCCCTATTTCTGTTTGTTGCCGCAGCGTGTCTGTACTAACACACTGTCTCTGTGTCTTGTCATCTTTCTTTCCCTGCTTTGCCGGAAAAAACAAAACAAAACTCTGTCTTTCTCTCTCTGCTTTCTCCTTAGTCGTATTGTGCCTTTCTGTTTCTGTGTATAATTCCTTCTTCACTTTGCTGTATTTTCTACTGGCTGTCCCTTTCCTATACAGTGGTACCCTGGGTTAAGAACTTAATTCGTTCTGGAAGTCTGTTCTTAACCTGAAACTGTTCTTAACCTGAAGCACCACTTTAGCTAATGGGGCCGCCGCTGCACGATTTCTGTTCTCATCCTGAAGCAAAGTTCTTAACCTGAGATAATATTTCTGGGTTAGCGGAGTCTGTAACCTGAAGCGTATGTAACCCGAGGTACCACTGTACTTTCTGAGGAGACATTTGCCAGTTGGGAGAAGCTGCTGGCCATTTTCTTCGCGTCCACCATTGCCGTCAGCGGAGCAGCGGCATGGACAAAATTTGATTGGCTACGGCATATAGTGGTCGTGCATCAGTTGCTGCTCTACCGCATGCAGTCTTTACTGCCTCAGATCGCTCCTGCGTGAGCCCGCAATCGGTTCTGGCCATGAGACAGCTGTTAGGGGACTTTCCGCCTCCATTTCAAACAGCCGATCCAGCTACTATAAAGTGCAACAGCCACTTTCTGCTTCCTGGGCCTGGATTACACAACAGTTTCCAGCGTAAACTATTGCCACTCAACAGTTAAGCCGAAAAGGTCGCCTTCTGCTGACAGCTTCTGCTATTTACTTCCTACTTCCAACAGCACTCCAAGTGTGTGTGTGTGTGTGTGTGTGTGTGTGTGAGAGAGAGAGAGAGAGAGAGAGAGAGACAGACAGAGACAGACAGACCGACAGACCGACCGACCAACCGACCTGGGTGTGCTGCATAGCTGCAGCTAATTATTGCCTTCTCTGTGTACATTGGGGGATCAACGGTGCCTGTTTCAGTGGGTTTCTTCCCGCATTCTAAGTGCAATATTTTCATTATGCCACCTGTGCTCTATAACTGACTTCTTTCTAGTGCCTAAGGAAGCGGGCCAGCCTGCACCTAAGGAAGCAAAGCAAAAGTCTAAGCTTTTTCAGCCCACGAGCTATGCTGCCATCACATTTGGTTTGGGGGCTAAGTGACACATACGTGGCATGCAAGGCATTTTTTTCATTAGAAGAAATCATTTAGTAAACATTGGGTTGCTAATGAGCCCCGCTCAGCTGCCGGCAAAGTGGCAAGAGCAATAATAGCATGCATTAGTGTTGTGCTCAAACGTCCCCCAATATAATGCAGACTTTTAAGAACAAAGTAGTACCCTTTTTATGAGCTACTTAACAAAGATGGAAACAACCGAGTTTGGTGGCATCTTAAATACTAACAAATGTATTACGGCATAATCTTTTGTTTATTAAAACCCACTTTCTCAGACATGTTGCCTTTATTTGACAGGATGTGCTCTCTCCCCCTCTCTCTCACGCACTTTGTAAACAGTGTGTACTTGTTCATTTTAACTCCTTTTTAAATGTTGTCGTCTTTCTCGATTTAACTCTAATTTCTTCAGAAAAATCACCTGTGCTGACTTAAAGGAAAAAGATGAGCTGAGTTCCTGCAAAAATCAGTGTCCAAAAGAGGTAAGTTATATATGAATTAAAAACATTTGGGGAATATTTAATAAGTACAGCAATCCCCCCCCTTCTTAAAATTTATTTGTGTGTGTGTGTGTTTTTACTTGTTAAACACTGGCAAAATAACATGAGGTATTTAAGTGTGTATTCCCATTTGCAAGTGTACTTTTATCCCACAATTTTCACTGTGCGAAACTCTGGTGGTGGTTCGTTGTTGTTGTTGTTGTCGTTCTTTAAACTGGTAGGGCAGAATAGAGAAAAAGTATATTATTCTGATGTATATGTTATGCAAGATGAATAAAAAATGATTTAATAACATAAAAAACGTAAAAAATTGTAGATACTAATTCCCTAAGTAATAACTTGGATAATAGTGGGTAATTTGAATATAAGCATGCTACCTAGCTTGTAAAAGGGATGTGGGTGGTGCTGTGGTCTAAACCACTGAGCCTCTTGGGCTTGCCGATCAGAAGGTCAGCAGTTCGAATCCCTGCAACAGAGTGAGCTCCCATTGCTCTGTCCCAGCTACTGCCAACCTAGCAGTTTGAAAGCATGCCAGTTCAAGTAGATAAATAGGTACCGCTGCAGCAGGAAGGTAAACAGCGTTTCTGTGCGCTCTGGCACTCGCCACAGTGTTCCGTTGCTCCAGAAGTGGCTTAGTCATGCTGGCCACATGACCCGGAAGCTGTCTGTGGACAAATGCCAGCTCCCTTGGCCTGAAAGCGAGAACCAGGAATTCCAGGCAGGTGCGTGAGGACGAGGGATGGAGTGCTTTGTCCCACCTTCACCAGCACCCAGCAGGCTATTATTATTATTATTATTATTATTATTATATTTATTTATTATATACAAGTAACTTTTGGGGGCTTATTAGAAGGGTACATTAACCCTACTGTTAACCTCTAAATGGAAATTGCAGAATGCACAGAAAAGTGTACATTTCTTACAAAATGGAAGAGTTTAAGGCCAGAACATGCAGGGTTTATTTTCTCTTTCTTGCTGGCAAGGGGAAATTAACTCTTCCCATTAGCACTTGGGTAGAAAAGCAAAACGTTTATTAATCTCTAAACCAGAGCTCACCAACCTTTTGGGTCTCATGGGCAGATTTACAAACCAGAGAAACTGTCATGGTCACCAAGCACACACCACAGTTGTGTATCCATGCATGCATGCGCGCGCGCGCACACACACACTTCCCTGTCCCTAGCAATTAGGCTTGGACAAATTAAAGAGGTCAGATCTGAAAGCCTGGTGAAATAAATGAGGTTTTTGCCACTGAGTAGACCCTTTCCCTACTAGCCATAGTTTTTCCTTCGCAAGCCAGGAAGATCATCCACCTCTGTAACAACTAGGCTACAATAGAAGGCTTTCCTCCCTAAGCCTATTGGAGCCATCACTTCCTCTACTAACACGCTCATGCAGCTGCATGCAATTCCTGGCTCCCCATAGCTACGAGGCTAGTGTTTAAAAGCAAGAGTGGTCTAACAAGTTTATTTCCATGTTATTTAAAATTAACCTCGTTTCAAGTTTTAAAAGAAACTTAGCATTTACATTTTTATTTATTTAAACAATTAATCCAATTAAAATTTTAATAATAATAATTCTTCTAAAATGTGAGGTTTTGAGACATTTGTTTGGCTACAGTAGTACTAAGCACAGAAGGAGCTTTCACTGTCTGGTGCAAGTGATACCTTTTTAGTGTCCCTCTCCTTTTCTCTTTAGGGATCAAGCAAACTTTGATGCTGCCAGAGGCAAAACTTTCAGTGTCCTATAACAGAAAGTTTGTAAAAACAGCAACTATTGCTGACCTTTTGCTATTACGGAATTCAAGGCAGTGTAATGTAAATTTAATTAGATGGTATTATGTTTTGTAAGTATTTTGCATTTTTTGACATTTTGTCCCATCACCTTAAATGGGCAAATGCACCCTAAAATGCAGCGTATAAATTATTAAATAGAAATAGGCAGTAGTTGTCTTCCAATGTTATGAGAATCAGCCTAGTCCCTCTCCATGTTTGCATTTTACTCTCTACTTCTGTTGCGGCTGCAAAGAGATTTGAAGCTTGCATTTTAGATTAACCACATTTTTAATGTGTTGTCTGAACCCTAAACTGTGTTTATTCTTAACTGTGATTAGTGAAAAAGCAAATATCTTCATAAACTATTGTTTGAAGTTGGATTGTTTGTCTGCATTCAGAGATAGGGTTTAAACCTCAACACCCTCATGGAAATCCAAATCACCCTCTCCCCAATCATCAGATGGATCAAATACAAATGTGGGGAATGTGTTAGCCTCATGGGATCCTCGGCTCATGGTCATATTGTTGAGCTATGGTTTAGTGTGGCATCTGAACCAGCCTACTGCTAAGTTATTAGACACTGAGCTCTTTCAGAGTATTCATTTTGCTTTTTATCACTTTGATGTAAAGCTATAAAAATACACTGTATAAGGCACACAGTATGTCAGAGAAATGCTTGTTTCTTGAGCAGTGAATAGAATATTGTTTTGACGGGCAGAATGTGGCATGTGATTTGAGTCATATTATTTTATGCTTAAGTTCCAAACAATGTGAATTAAAGCTTGCTATAAGAAAATGTTAGCATTACATTTTTTAAAAAAAGCTACACACAAAAACCACTGCTGACTTAGAAAGTCATGGTGAAATATTTGAGAATGATGTTTGATGTTTAATGTTTTATTTTGTTTTTATATTTTGCTGGAAGCTGCCCAGAGTGACAGCATATAAATAATACAATTAATATAATATAATACTGAGGTCCAGCGCTGAGGGCCTTCTGATGGTTCCCTCCCTGCAAGAAGTGAGGTTACAGGGAACCAGGCAGAGGGCCTTCTCAGTAGTGGTACCCAGCCTGTGGAACGCCCTCCCATCCGATATCAAGGAAATAAACAACTCTCTGACTTTTAAAAGACATCTGAAGACAGCCCTGTTTAGGGAAGTTGTTAATGTTTGATGTTTTATTGTGCTTTTAATGTTCTGTTGGGGGCCACCCAGAGTGGCTGGGGAAACCCAGCCGGATGGGTGGGGTATAAATAATAAATTATTATTACTTTATTCATGCAATTCAGCTCAAATTAATTGCTCCCAAGAAGTAATGGATGGTTTAAAAATCCTAGGAGAATAGAAAGGTCTTTCTTTATCTGGTGACAAAAAGATATTAACTTAAGTACCAGACAAGCCACACTGGGGACGATATCCCATAATCCCTGTTGGCTACCCACTTTACCTCTCAGTGCAGGAGGAGTCTGTCCTGCTTTACATGAACTGTGTGGGAGCATGTTGAGCTGAATTCTGGGTGCTCCACTGTGTCCACCTGACTATTGCATATATGCTCAGGACCATGTTTGAATCGGCCCACGGAAGTGAAAATCACTGTATTAAAAACTTGTTGAATAAATGTGCAGATGCTGATACCTAAACATAAATTTGAACTTGAAAGCATTTATATACCCCCATCTGGTTATACATTTGGTTATATCATGTATTGTATAATGCAAGTAGTCTTCTTGATTTATTAACGTAAAAATACATTTACTAGGAAACTGAAAATGTCAAAAACAGACATCCTAAATATTAAAATAATTATGGCCCCTGTGACATTTCCCCCCAAGAGCAGTCTGCAGAAGCAAATTCACATTAAAAATGAGGTTCTCCAGATAAAAAAATCCCCCCAACCTACTGGAAACTAAAGCATCTCTATAAATCATGAACTCCAATGCAAAGTTTAGGTATGTGCTTCTGAGTTTGTTTGTTTTTTAAAAATACTCTTTTAAAAGTATCTGAAAGTGCTTACAGTTTTTTTTCTTTGTGTTTGTTTCATAGTTTTGAGAAACAAAACTTGTTACTTCAGTTTTTGAAAACGCATACTGGAAATAATGGATGTTTTATCAGAATCCTCCCAGAATGGCCATGTTCAGGCATTTGGGGCGAACATGTGTAGGTTTAAGGAATATTAGAAGCCCTTTCGGTCCTTCTCACTGAATGCAGGAAGTCCTGAGATGGTGCCATGGTGTGGGAAGACACCAAGGGCTTCCTGCAGCCAATCAGAAGCCGTGCTTTGGTTTCCGAACGTTTTGGAAGTCAAACGGGTTTCAGGAAAGGATTCCGTTTCACTTCCAAGGTACAACTGCATAGGTTAGACAAGTTTGAGGTGGGTGCAGAATTGGGAGCTGGATTGCTTATCTTTGATGTCGGAATCCAGTAGATGTTTCCAATATTTGAGCAACTGCATTCTGAAAAGCGGTCATGCTAGATAAAGCATGACAAATGACAAGACAGGAATGCAATTGTTGCATTAATTGTATAGAAGATATCTTTGCATCATAGCTTCCAAAATCTTCAAGGATTAGGAGCAGAATAAATATGTAAGGAGCAAATGCAAGTCAACAGTAACAAAGCATTTATTTAGCAGTCTTGAAATACCACTCAGGAGTCGTACTGGTGCTCCATTTCAGAGTATCATTTTCTTTCTGCCACCCCATGTTATAGTTGTCCTGTGGTCATCGATGTAAAGAGATCTGTCATTCTTCCGACTGTCCTCAGAATTGCAACCAGAAGGTTAAAGTCAGGTGTCCTTGCAAGAGACTCAAAAAGGTAATTTCATACTCTTCTGAAATCTGTACTTTTCTATTAAAATATTTGATTGATATTTTTATTCCATTTTTTAAAAATTATGGTATTGTTATACCACTCTTCATAATATCTGACCCAGGATGGATTCGTGGTATGTGTTAAAGCAGTAAGTTATATAGGCTAAAACTATTAAAATCAATAAACTGAGGGCGCAAATTGTGTATCAGTTAAATGGCAGAGTGAAAACTTTCTGGTATTTAAGATGCAACATCCTTCCAGTTTTTAAAATATCTGAGAAAATAAAAATGTCTTTACTTGACGCCTAAGCTATAACAGTGGGTGCTAGTTCCACATAACTTTTGCTAGTTTTTTACATTTTAGATATTGAAATTATTTAAAAATCATTTAACATTTAATGTGAGCCACCTTGATAAATCATCTCTGAAAAATGGATAAATAAAAATTTTCTCTAATGTGAATTCCAAAATTCCCATGTACTGCAGTGATGCAAATATAATTCTGAAATAGGGCAAATACTATGGAATTTCTACCTTTATAACACAAGGGGATTTTAGAGTGAAGATGGTTGCTTAGATATCATAGCCTTAAAAGAAATCATTGTGCAGTTAATTGAATTAAAAGTGTTCAGACTTCAGTATTATCCTGGGAAATATATGGTATAGTTTAGCTCAAGTATGGCTAGTCCAGAGTAAGAAGAGGAAATACGTTTTCCTGGCCAGTAATCAGGAAAAGGCATATTTAATTACATAAAAAACTGGACCAAGAACTGTTGTTAAACTTGTGAATCCCTAATGCATTTTACAGAAGACTTTCTCATAGTCTCAGTGCAACTGTGGTGTCATCATCACCCCTGAAGCAGACAGTATAATGGACAAATGACTTCCTCTTACATGACATTATTAATTTTTTTGCCAGATAGCAATAAGTTTCATTCTTAATAACACTAAGAAGAATTGCTTGGCACAAGTAGTGTCTGGCTTTTTGAGGAAAAGCAATTTATAAATGTAACAAACAAATAGTGTATAACGTCATCTTTTGGGATCTGAGATGCTCACATAATCCATGCCTGCAACATGGGACCCATCTCTCTTTCTCTCTTACATATATGTCTGCTTTCATTTCCCCCTATCTTTTTTGTATGCATACCTGATTAGAGCGAGTCCCTAAAACGTCTCGTGTTAATCGCAGCACCTTCTATCAAATATAAGGCTCATATAAGAAATGCTGGAAAGTCATCTTAAGAAATCAGCTGTTTGGTTAATGCACTATAAAGAACACAAAATGTTAGTCTATTTCCATGCAGGAGAATTTAAGTTTAGCTTCTCCACTGAAATCAATGTGACATAGAAGTGTTGAACACTGGCTGGATCAACCCTAAGAGATGCGGGTATTTTAGACTGGTGTTACCAAGGAAAGGGGAGAGACAAAGAAGGTGAAATGGCGTTTGTGAGGGTGAGACACCTAACAAAGACACTAGTCCAAGCTCCTCACACACAAAAGAGTATTAAGCTCTTTATTAGTGTTTGTAATAGGGACGCAGGTGGCGCTGTTCCCGTTGCTCAGTCCCTGCTCCTGCCAACCTAGCAGTTCAAAAGCATGTCAAAGTGCAAGTAGATAAATTGGTACCACTCCAGTGGGAAGGTAAACGCTGTTTCTGTGTGCTGCTCTGATTCGCCAGAAGCTGCTTAGTCATGCTGGCCACATGACCCGGAAGCTGTACGCCGGCTCCCTTGGCCAATAAAGCGAGATGAGCACCGCAACCCCAAAGTCGGTCACAACTGGACCTAATGGTCAGGGGTCCCTTTACCTTTACCTTCACCTTTTAACAAGGCTAATGGAATATCCTGAATTTGGCTTGCTTACCCACTTCAATGAGAAAAGCATATACTTGGCTGGAGTTGTGAAGCAAAGAGTTGTGTAATTTCAGTATGTGAAGAGTTGAGTTTCTTATTGAAAGAAGGAGCACCCACATGACATACAAAAAAAGAAAATCTAAAAAATAGATTGATAGGGAAACCTTTAACCTCTTAGGCTTTGTAGTACAGTTATTGCTTTCACTAGGTTCTCAAGGTTAAACTGTGAAGACATGCCTTGAAAAATGTATTTTTCAAATGTAAATTCCCCAGTCCAAGAAATCATGAAGACTAGCTCAAGCACTCCCTTCATGCCCAAATTTAGACCAGGCTTCCTGGTTAAAGTTCAAGTTTAACCAGGCTTCCTGGTTAAATTTCAAGTTTCCCAATTTGGACGTCGGGAGAAATGTGGTTTAAAAAATGAGCAAGTCTGTTCTGAAGCCAGGCAGCAATGAAGAGAAAGCTCATTGCTCATTAGCACTTCAACAAACTCTGCTTGGTTAGAAAGAGAACTGGACTGTTGCTTTGTGTTATGTGAATAGTCAGTTACCACGTATTAAATGTTCAGTGGTGAGAAGTACATGTTGGAAAAGTCTACTTTACTCTTGCTTTCCTACCCAGCAGACTCACAGGGCGGCTTACAAATTTCCATCTAAAACAATCTGAAATAGATATCAGATGCTTAACTAATTTCATTTATTATTGAAAGAAAAGCAGCTATTCAAATCTCAATGAAATGTAGGATTGTGCTGAATTTTATAACCATCTGATTTATGTAATTCGTAACCTAAAGCGTTAAAGTCTTGTGACAGAGAGAAAAGATTCCTTGGCACTTCCCCCCCCTCTTAAGTCCTATTTTGGGTATCAAAATTGATGAGATAGTACTTATAGTAGGGCTTTTTCTTAATGCAGTGTGTTCTCATGAATGCAGAGACTATTAAAAAGCAACATAAGATGTATCCTACCTACATCTTAACTGTGATAAATATTCCAGTAGGTTTATAATTTAACTGTATACTGGTTCGATTCATTCCAAGAAGGAAACGTACAAACCAGTGGCTTATCCTCAGTCCTTTAACTGGTTTGTTGTTGTTTGCAAGAACATCAAGGTTTGTGCTACTTCAAGAAATGAAGTCTGTGCTACTTCAAGAAATGACTTCACACATGAAAGTAATTTTTTGTTGTGTTCTTTGGGCTCTTATTATACTGCATCCAGGGACGCGGGTGGCGCTTTGATCCAAACCACTGAGCCTCTTGGGCTTGCCAAACGTAAGGTCGCCAGTTCGAATCCATGTGACGGGGTGAGCTCCTGCTGCTCTGTCCCAGCTTCTGCCAACCTAGTAGTTCGAAAGCATACCAATGCAAATAGATAAATAGGTACTGCTGCAGCAGGAAGGTAAACGGTGTTTCCGTGTGCTCTGGCTTCTGTCACAGTGTCCCATTGCGCCAGAAGTGGTTTAGTCATGCTGGCCACAGGACCTAGAAAGCTGGCTGTGGAAAAACGCCAGCTCCCTCGGCCTGAAAGCGAGATGAGCGCCGCAACCCCATAGTCACCTTTGACTGGACTCAACCGTCCAGGTGTCCTTTACCTTTACCTTTACCTTTACTGCTTCTACGTTTGCCCTCCTCTTCCACTTCTTCTAAGATATAGTTGCCTTGTTCCCTTGACATCTGGGGGGCAGTAACTTGAGTTTATTTTGAAGTTATTCATTTGTCCACCTCCAAAAGTAGTTTCCACGAGCGTATGTCGGATTTACAAAACACTCGTCACATAAATGTTGGTTATAGTGTGAACGTATCTCGTGATGAGTGTTTTTATTTGTAATTCATTTACTACGGGAAGAAAATGGTTTGCAAGCTAAATGGCAGGAGAAGGATTCTTCGGTTATATGGGAAACAGTGTTTAGGCGTGTGTGTTTCACAATCAGACTAATGAAGAAAAATAATATATATTGTTTGTACCCTGCTTCTAGGAGCTGCTGTGCAGTAAGGTTCGAGGAGACCTAGTTACGTTAGAATGTGACACTGTGTGCAAGGAAATGAAACGGAAAGCTTCTGAGGTAATTTTCCTTTTGTGGTGCAATATATCCTCACTGCTTCAAGAGACTCATGCAGAGTTATTTTCTAAAATCATTGTGCAAGAAATAGAATGCAATTAAATCCAGTGTTCCCTGTTCAACAGCTGTTACATGTTAAACTTTGCTTTTTATGTATTTTGGAAAGTTTGTCATCTTGCCTTGCTGTTTATGATAAACTGTTAAGACTATGAGCCTCTACACTTGCTGTATTAGAGTAATGTTGCTTATGTCTCTTGCTTCCTACCTTTCCCCCCCAGTTTGGAATGTTTCTTGAAGAAGGTACACATTCATTCAGTTGGGGCCTAGGGGGCATGAAATGAGTTGCCCTGCCTTGTTCAGTTTGTTAATTTGAAGTTAGGATAGTGTAATGAATACATCTATTTAAAGTTCCAAAAATCTGATAACTAGTTTAATGCTCATGTGTGCGCACATGCTTCTCTTGATCTCTTACCACTTGATGACTACTTGGCTGGATATGAGAGCAAGTTGCATCAAAAAGAACAAGGAGTTTTGTGGCACTTTAATGAAATTTGTTTTGGCATAAGCGGACTGCAGTCCACTTCATTAGATACATGGTGTTATCCTGAGTTGGGGAGAGGGATTGCAAACCGCGGGGTCAACTAGAAACAACATGCAGAAAAGGGTAGACAACGAAGGTTTTATAATTAACAGTGGAAATTCACAAAGCAGCTGCTGATAAACACAGACATCCTGTCATCAGTAAGCAAATACACTTAGTGTGCCAAAATATTTTTGTCTGTGTTCAGTCCAGAAGTGATCACATTGAACCATGTAGTGTATTATAATTAAGTTGTTTCATATTGCCATGTCCCTTTTAGTTTCTTGACCCAGGATAACTAGTCAAAGGTCACTTACAGGGTGTCCTGGGAAGTTGACATATTTCACCACTTTTGAAAATTGCAATTTCTGATACCATTTTTGCATGTTGTTGTTGTTGTTGTTGTACCCCGCCCATCTGACTGGGTTGCCCCAGCCACTCCAGGTGGCTTCCAACATACATAAAAACATAAAAAACTACACATTAAAGTAAGGAACTCTGTTAAGGGATGGAAGAATTGGCATCTTCAGGAGGCATTGGGCCGAAAGCCACATGTGCTTACACAGATAAGAGCATGTGCAACACAGATAAAACATAATATGCAAAGAATGTAATAAGATTTCCACCTGACTTTTTGGTAATGCAAAGAGAAAAGAAAGCCATAGATCTGGTGAGGCAATGTATTCTGGATTTAGATTTCCAGAAATTGTTTGCAGACATTAATGTACCTATAACATATCTCCCCTCTACTCAAGTCTGGATGTTGAAAGTTCTCTTCCACATACGTAACAAAACGTAATTATCCAAAGTGTAAAAGAGTGATTCCCTTAACAGGAATGAATTCCTTTCCTTCTGCAGTTAGATCATGATGATCAGAGGGCAGTCGACTTGGAGGAGCACTGGTATCAGTGTGGACAGCCAGAGTGCTGAAGTGCAGTTCTGTATAGCTATCCAGGATAGAAATGTATGTATAGTAAAGTGGCTGAGAAAAAAGGACTGGGGAGAAATGGTCTTCCTGCTGACAGCCCAGACCCATCAAATAATATTTTATTTAGTCAGCTTCCTAGCTGCAGTCCTTTGCAGTCCTTTCTATTAAAAAGTAATGGGCCAAATCTCACATGGTTGACTGCCAATGTGATGAACATGGGGATGAAAGAAAGAGGATGGGGGGAAGCTGGAGGCTAAGTCTGAGTTAAAAGTACAGAGTTAAACTACAAATATTTGTAGCATTTCCTTTCCTTTGTGTAATGTACTATTGTTTGTTAGTATTGGTGTAGTGTAGAAAGCTGGGTGTATTGTTTTTTATCATGTTTTTGAACAATTTATTATGCCCAGTTGATGGCCGCTGGCTAACTAAAAAAGACTGGGCAAAAAGTTGCGTGTATAATTTTGGCTACCTGAGCATGGGTGAGGGAAAAACTGTAAAAATGCAAATTATGCATGAATGGAGGGGAGTCCTAGTACAGGTGTATGATGGGAGACTCAGTATTTTGTAGATGGAAAAGAGCTGGAATGTGAAAAAGGAAATGTTTCAGTCTGTCTGCAAGCATAGCATTAGTTTGGTTTGGAAAGAGGGCAACAGATATGACATTGATGATAAATTAAAATTTTTTACCACTCTTCATCTGAACAATATAGGGTGGTTCACAACATAAAAATACAAAATGAGAACACAAAATGCATAATAAAATAAAACAATTATACCCCACTCCCACAATCAATTTATAAAGGTCATAGAATGTTACTCAGCCCAAGGCATGGTGATAGAGAAACATTTTTGCCTGACGCCTAAAGGTATGTAATGAAGGAGAATGATGAGACACAAGGAGAATGTGAGGGAAAGTTTTGGAAGTCAATACAGTGGTACCTTGGTTTACGAACTTAATCCATTCAAGAAGTCCGTTCTTAAACCAAGGTGTACTTTCCCATAGCAGCGGGGGACTCAATTTACAAATGGAACACACTCAACAGGAAGCGAAACATGTTCTTATTCCAAGGCAAAGTTCACAAACCAAAACACCTACTTCTGGGTTTGCAGTATTCTTCATCCAAGTTGTTCATAAGCTAAGCTGTTCTTAAACCAAGGTACCACTGTACTATTCATGGCTTTTTATAGCACACAATTGTGCTCTTGTTTCTGCTTGTGTACAGTTTGCTTCTGTTCAGTTAAGTTGGAATTACTGAAACCCAAAGGCGCTTTCAGTTTCTGTGTGAAGTATATGGTACTTGAAATACAATATATAATTGAAACTAAATGAGCTTCCTTGCCAGAGGAAGGGCAGATGTTTTCTCTTTATTTACTACCGTTAATGTTGAAGTGCTCAATATATGTGGTTCCTAAGGGTTTACAAAAGATGTTAAAAACCAAAATATGAGTACTTGCCACAAAATAAAGCAATGGAAAAGTTTCTGCACACTAGCAAAAACAAGAGAGTGTGGTAAATCTCCAGGGAAATCCTGCGTAAAGGGCATGGGAAAGGAAGTACCGTTACCCCCTCCAAAAAACTGCACATGGAAAGGTGTTCCAGAGGCTGGGTTATACCACTGAGATGGCCCACTTCCTTGATGTCATTATGTGATATTTCACTGATTGTATCCTGAAGATCTTGATGATTGGCTTGGGATGTATAAGGGGAGGCAACAAGTCTCTAAATATTATTGTGTCTGTGAAGCTGGGCAGGGAATTTTCAGTTGTGTAAAATAACAGGCCCACTATTTAAAATACTGTGTAGTTCAGTTTAAGCTATTTAATTTAAAGGTGTCTTCACCGTACTGTATTCAGCTCCTGCTGAAAATAATTCTTGTAAGCCTACCCAGATGCTTAGAAAGTTGAGGTGAATTGTAATTTGTTTTTTGGTATTTTAACATTTTGCATGTTTCAAAGTATTGGAATCCCGCCCCCTTGATTTTCTTGTTTTATCTTTTTGTGAACCACTTTGAAGTTTGTTTGTTTTTTAATCAAGCAGTCCATAGATTTTATGGAACAGAAATAGATAAAATACCATACACCACTTATAATACTGTGCATTATAAAAAAACAACAGCCACACACCTAACTGCTTTACAGTGTCTGTCTCAAAGTAGTTCAGAGCTTGGTGACTTTCTCCTGGCCACTTAATGAGGTTCCTGGTCAGCTGGCCTCTGCTCCTTACAACAGTTTATGACTCAAAATTTCATCAAGCGCACCACAATGAGTTCTTGAAGGAGTAGGAGTCCATAATATAGTGGTAACAACATGCTTCAGAATATTCGGGATCTCAAGTAGCGTGACTGGGGAAAACCTCCACATGCACCTTTGAGGAGCTGTTTGTGGACTACACAATGCAAGTCTCAGTATAGGAACATCTCATATATTCACATGAACCCCAGGGAATAGCATATGTTCCAGTTCATATAAATAACAGGTAAATGAGAGGGGGCTTTTTTTAATGGCAGCCCTATCACTTTGGAGTTCCCTTCAGAGATGTGCAGCTGGGCCCCCTTGGGATGTGTTCATCCGCATCGTGAGTATTTGCCTGTTCCACACTGCCTTTATTTGAATCCAGATGCTGTCCTATATTTGATCCGTGGTGTTGTGTGGGATCGTTTCATAGCGTTGAATCCTAAGTTTTAAATTGCTTTTCCGATTTTAATGGTGAACAGCCTTAAGAGGGCCAAGGCCTTGAAAGGCAGTGTAAGAATAACTAAATAAATGAACAAAAGTGTAATGATGCTTCCAGCAATTAACAGGGGAGCAAATTTGGGTGCCCAGTGCGTGTGACCTCATGACGTCATGTTGTGGCGTGACCTCATGACCTCATGTGCACCCCCCTGCCTCAGAACATAACTTCTTGGCACTGGAAGTCAGGTTCCAAGGTCTCGTGAGTTGCATCAGGGGCCCTGTTTGGGTGCTGAGCACCCACAACAAATTTTTTCTGGGTGCTCAGGCACCCCTATAGTTGGTGCCCCTGGCAATTAGTAAATTGTAGCTTATTATGTGCTAAGCATTATTATTTTTATATTCACACAGATTAAAGAGGCCGAGGCCAGAGCTGCCCTTGAAGAGGAAAAACGAAGACAACAGGTACCCACCAACTCAGTCTTCTCTTAAAGTGCAGAAAACGCTAGGACTGTAATCCTACATGTAGTTTGGGCTGCTTAAATTTCAGTGAAGGCAACTGAACGCAGAATGATGAGCTCACAAAATTCTAGTTACAGTACTATTGTACCATGCAGGTAAAGTTTTAATATGCACTATTTTAAGACACAGTTGAAAAAAGATGACACCTCTCCTTTTTACAACATTTATTTTTATAACTTTCTGCTTTCCTCCTATCCAGGCTGAGCTGGAGGCTTTTGAGAACAGGCTAAAAGGTCGTCGGAAGAACAAGAGAAAAAAGGACGAGGTTGAAGTTGAACTATCTGCATGGCAAAAATATAAGAACATGATTGTGTTGCCAGTATGTGGAGCTGCTGTCGTAATGCTTGCGTGGTTCATAGCCTACAATGACTAAACTATTCCATTTCAAAACACCTCAATATGATTATAGAAAGCTAACTGCTAAGATGCTGTGATATAAATTAGGATTTAATGTTCAGTTGTATAGGTAGCGACTGATTGGCACGTAAGCGGGGCCCATGTAAGGCCGCCCCACCCTGTTGAACCCTTTTTGTGATGTTTTTGTGTCAGTTCGGGATTGGCACAATACGGTTGTGCACATATCGGACGCACCTGATATGGTTGCTGCCTGTAGTTCGTTATAATTTTCCTGTTCATTTAGAGAAAGCTAGAACCAACCCCAGATCCTATACTTTGCTCCCAAATCAATTTAAAATATTGAGGTGACTCGATTGAAAGTTCTACAGTATAGTTGGTTGAACTGTGCTAAGCAATTGTGCCAGATTATATTTTTAAAGTCTAATTTGAGAACCACCGAGTACCATTCTTGTCAATATCCATTTGTTTTGTTCCACCTGCGCACCAGATGAGCACTTGGTTTGTGTAGTCATTTTTAACCTTGGCAGTTGGAAGCAGGAAATGGTTGGTTTGATACTGTCACAGATGACCATGCCTACTCTCTGTTGGAGGATGCTTGAAACTCTGATCCCGTAAGATGTAGTTCCTATAGCACACATGTACACTACAGCATAGTCTTGCATGAAAAAGCACCCTTGTTTGGTTCCGATCATATGCAAGGACTGGGTTGTGAATCATGCTGTTATCTGAATAGAAGACAATGTTTTAATGTTTTCATCTTAGCTATATTAATGTGGGTCTTCAGAATAAACCATTAAACCGTTCTTGATGCTGAGCAGTCCTAGTCATACTTTGTCAAACGTATCTTTTAAAATACAATACGGGTGTTCTGTACCTCCAAGAGTTGAAGAGTTTTTGTTGAATAACATATTTCTAAAGGGAAGTTGTCAGATTTTTCTTCAGGACCTCTTGCAAAACTGGTCATATGCAAGTTGTCAATTTTATTTACCTTTTATTTCAAGTTCTATTTTTTGCTAGTAAAAAGAAAATAGTATTTCAGGATATTGCTCTCCCTCTGAAATGTAGCTTTCTCGAAGAAAATTTACATCAAATAAATTCGTAGCTGTGTTTGCTGTGTGTAAAGTGGCATTCACAATTTAGAAAAGAGTGTATGTACATGTGGCAAGTTCATAATTAGTTCAGGTGTGCAGATACATAGAAAAATATGAAATGTTGTCTTAAGCAGATGCTCTCAGAGCTGGAATTTAAATATCAAATCAAGTAGCAAATGTCCTAGCTAACCTGTTCATTGTTTCTGTTTACAAATTGACACCCCTGCTTTCAACCCTTCAAAAGTGAACAATAAACTTTACTCCTGAACTACTTTTGTATTTAATTTTTTAGTGACTATTGTCACATCAAATGAGGGAGTGCAAGTTCTTCTGACTTGCTTGCTAGTGCTTAAAATGCTAAATAAATATTACTGATTATTAATTTCCTGTCTAAATTTGGTCTTTGTAAGAATTACCTAAATCCAAGCTCCGAATCTTGGGCAAACATCCCAGGTGAAGTCTGGTAGGAATGCCTTTTGGATACCTTCAGATAATCTGAAATTGATATTTTCACATATTTCCAGCAGTGGGTCTTATCTACTTATGACGATTACACATAAGATAAATATATCTACTGTTCAGGGATATTTTTATCAGATGTATGCTGGCAGATTCTAAAACGTTCTTTGGAAAGGAAAACCACAAAATATTGTAACTTTGGACTTGTTATATTTACTAAAGAGTACAGTTATTTTTGTTTTTCCATTGATTAAAGAAAGTAACATGAAGAAATCCATCCTGCAATTGTACATTTTAAGAATTCTAACTTGGTCAGTAGCTCACTTCCTAGCCACATGAATAATTGATACTAATATCACCTTAGGCTGTCAGATTTCACTTTTAGGATATGTTAGCATGAGTCATTTATTTTTGTACTGTTATAACAAAAAAGAGAAAATCCGTCTGTCAGTGTAGATAAATAGTGGAAACTGATACCTGTTTGAGTCTTACTATGTATTATGTGTGTTAGTAAATCAGCATTCTCTTGGTTTGAATGTTGATGAGATTTGTTAGCTTCTCAACACAAATAACTGGAAAGCTAAAAGGTTTTCACTACTTCAGCACTTGTATTAAAACATTTGTCTTTGTTTATGTGTAAATGTACCTTCATTTGAAAGAGGTAATTTCAAAATTACCATCCTTTAATGTTTTGGATGTTCAGCTGAGTGGAAGATGAGAAAAGCAGGCACAATTTCAGTGTGGGGTAAGGCCTTCAGAATCACTTGCCATTTCTTGATATGAATGAGAGGGGAGCATAGCTATATACTTTGCACGCAGAACATACCAGGTTTGGTCTCTGGCATCACCAGTTGGAAAGATCCCAGTTTGCACAGGACAGTTTGCACAAGACCACTTCCTGAGATTCTGGAGTGGCAGATTTCGATGTTATGGCTGCCACCAGGTCTTCCGCACCATGAAATAACATATTTTTGTACTGGGCATTCAGTTCAATATAGCAGCTAGAAAATCTCAGCTTTCATCTTTTGATAACGTTTCTAAGCTACAGTATATGACTATAAAGTTCAGAGTTGAAAGTGTGTGAACAGTGCTGGTGAAATCATAGGAATTGTAGAGTTGGAAGGGACTACGAGGGCCACCTAGTCCAGCCCGCAGCAATCCAAGAATCTTTTGCCCTATGTGGAGCTGGAATCCACAACCCTGAGATTAAGAGTCTCATGCTCTACTGACTGAGCTATGTTATCTTGGGGCAGTGGTGGTGAGCTGACTGGATAGTGCTCATTTAAATGGGGCTTCCTTTTACAGCAGTAGCTCTTTTGCTTCTCAAGGTTAGCAGAATAAATTATATGAAAAGAAGTAAATATAAATGTGTTCATGTGTTTATAATTTTACACATCTCAGAATTCCGTTTTTCTAAATTTAGGAATCTCCTGTGTTAGAGCTGCATAAGCAGAAGCTAAGAGGAAATCAGTAGTTTTGCAGGTATCGTATTGTGTGTTTGCCAGTTGTATGTTTCACATACCCAAATAACAATAAAAAATAGGCCTGTGACGAGTTTTCAAGAAAGTAGGGGAGGGGGGTAGTGATTCACAACACAGTAAGCATGGCCAATAATCTAAACTGGAAAGAGAGCTCAGTCCAAATATTCCACATTAGTCCTAAATCCAACTTGGCTACCCCTATACTTACTTGTGACATCACTTTTAAATCAAAAACACTTAGAACTAAAGATTGAATCATTTAGGCTTATATAGATTATTCAGTTTTTCATTCAGTAAACATGCAAATTTGCAGATTTTCCAGATGACTTTGCCTGTATTCACACTTTATTTCTTTATTGGACTTATTAGTCACTTTTGTTTACATAATGTAAAGAGTGACTTGCAATAAATATAATACAGAAATTTTAATTAATATAAAGCTAAAACAAAGTAAAAGCTAAACATGCACACATATATAAGAACCCATTGAAAGAGGCTGTAGTGTATAAACTTCTCAAGTTAAAGGTGAAAAGCCTGGCTGAAAAGAAACATTTTTCTCTGGCACCTGAAAATAGCCAGCGATGGTGCCAGGCATCCTTCCCTGGGGAGAGCATTCCGTAAGCAGGGAGCCACCATTGAAAAAGTTGTGTTCTTGTGTTGCCACTTCTGGATAGAGTTTGGAGAGGGCACACAGAATGCAGGATCTGGATTGGTTTATGTGGGGACAGGTGGTCCTTGAGGTATCGGGGCCCTGAGCCACCTAACACTTTTAAATCAAAACCAGCCCTTTGAATTGAGCCCGGAAACTAATTGGTAGGCAATACAGTCTTACCAGAATTGGTTTTCTATGCTTGGACCGTCTTGCATTGTCCTCAGTCTGTCAAATGCTGCACCACCTGCAGTTTCTGAACCATCATCAAAGTTGGCCCAATGTATAACACATGACAACAGAGGTTGGGCCTCCCCTGTCCAGATGAGTGTGCAGATTAGTTAAAGGGACCCCTGACCGTTAGGTCCAGTCACGGACGACTCTGGGGTTGCGGCGCTCATTTCGCTTTACTGGCCGAGGGAGCCAGCGTACAGCTTCTGGGTCATGTGGCCAACATGACTAAGCCGCTTCTGGCGAACCAGAGCAGTGCACGGAAACGCCATTTACCTTCCCGCCAGAAGAAGGTGCTTTCGAACTGCTTGGTTGGCAGGAGCAGGGACTGAACAACGGGAGCTCACCCCGTTGTGGGGATTCAAACCACCGACCTTCTGATCAGCAAGCCCTAGGCTCTGTGGTTTAAACCACAGCACCACCTGCTTCCACCAGCTAAAGCAGATGCAGGGCTTTTGCATCATGGAAGCCGCTTGAGCCTCAGATGACAGTAATGGATCCAGCAGTACACCCAAACTGCACACTTGCTACTAGAGAGGAAGTATAACCCCATTCAGAGCGGGGCACTTCCTACACATCCAGTCTAGGGATCCACCCACTTACAGTGCCTCAGTCTTGTCTGGATTGAGCTTCAGTTTATTGGCTCTCATAAAGTCCACTATCGAGGAAAGACATGGTTTCAGCATTTCCACTGATGGCCACACCTGTAGATGTAAAGGAGAAGGAACAGCTGTGTGTCATCAGCATATTGCTGATAACATGCTCCAAAACTCCAGGTGACACCACTTAGCAGTTTTATGTAGATGTTGTATATTGGATATATATGCTTCAGCATTTTAACTTGACTCTCTTGTCCCAGCCAGAAGTTCAGGTCTCCTCTTCAGCTAGCTAATGAACCTCTTGCAATAGTAAGTATTTGAAATGTGATTATGCCAACTGTCTTCTTTACCTGTTGTTTACTGATGTATCGTTCTCTCCCAATTGTGAATTCGGTGGTCAAGTATCTACTGGTTTAGGAACAGAACAGGGCCACCCAAAAACAAAGTAGTAGTTTGCACATTGTTGGAGTGTGCTAGATATGCAGAAGTATATGACTTTACAAACTAACAGAAAAACTCAGAAGGAGGCTGATAAGAAGCTGTGAGCTTCCAGGGTATCTGGCAGGAGTGAGGAACCCAGTGGCTGGAAGTTGTAGTTCGGCAATGTCAGAAGGCTAAAGGCCACACTTTAGTATCATAGAATTGTAGAGTTGGAAGGGACCCAAGGGTCATCTAGTCTAACCCTCTGCAATGTAGGAATCTCAGCTAAAGCGTCCATGGTGTCGTCTGCAAATTTGATGAACATTCCTTCAATGCCTTCGTCCAAATCGTTTTATAAAGATGTTGAACAACAACAACAGGCCCAGGACAGAACCCTGCGGCACCCCACTTATCTCTTTTTTTCCAGGATGATGAGGAACAGGATCAGTCAGAGGAAGCAACATATTGCAACATATATTTGGCAGGCCCCGCCATATTTCTGTGCTGTCTCCTCAAAATAGGCTTGAGGCAGCTTTAAGAAAAATAGTCAAAACAACATCTTGGTATAATATATCGCCATGGCAGTTCTTGCCTCATTTACAAACATGCATTATAAAAGGCTCGGTTGTACAGTGGTACCTCTACTTACGAACTTAATTTGTTCCGAAAGTCCGTTCTTAACCTGAAACTGTTCTTAACTAGAAGCGTGCTTTTGCTAATGGGGCCTCTTGCTGCCGCTGCGCTGCCGGCACACAATTTCCGTTCTCATCCTGGGGCAAAGTTCTCAATTCGGGGTAACTCTTCCAGGTTAGCGGAGTTTGTAACCTGAAGCGTTTGTAACCTGAGGCGTTTGTAACTCTAGGTACCACTGTATTTTGGAATGGCAAAGCATTGTAGTTTTGCCAGACAGTTGAAAGCTGGAGTACAGAACAATTAGAAAATTGTGAGGGTGGCACCAATAACCCCAGGTACAAAGGAGGCAGCATGGTCGAAGTAGAGGAGGAATGCTTAATCGAAGGCCTACGGAGTATTAGTGCTGATAGACCTGGTTATTTGTTTTGACTGTGAATTATCTGCCTTTTGATAGAATCCTAGAATACTGAATTATGGCATATTGTTTTGTAGTGGTTTTATATTGTGCCGTTGTGCCCCATCCTAAGGCCGCTTATTAAAATATTTTAAATAAATGTGACTAACTCTAAAATGGGGCTGGAGAATCCAGAGGTACAGTTAAATAGAAATACTTTCCATTGGCAGAATTAAGTTGAAATTATAACGGTTCTGTTAGAATTCCATGCCGCTTGTTTAAAAAAGAGAAAGACCTAAAACACAATCTTTAATTTTGCTTTTTTTTTTCCTACCTGAAGAAGTAGTGGTGGACTTCAAATGTACAGTATTTGGATTTGTATGCAGTAAACATTGAAGGTTTTAGCATTTTTTAGAGAGTAATATCTCTATGAAGGGAATTCCAGATAGTTGGCACCCACAAGGGAGGAGTGCATCATAAGGCAACCTGGGAAAGGTTTTTCCAGCTGTTCTTAATAGAAGGGGGTAGTTCTTACGGGGGACATGTTTAAATATAGGGGGCTTGAGATGTAAAGGTGAAAAACAACACCTTGAATGGCCTGCCAATGCCAATATAGTGAAGTGATGACTGGGTGGTTGTGTTTTTTTAACTACCCATTTATGGAGAGTTGAGCTTGGCAATGTCACACGGCTACACAAATTCCAAGCACTGTGGTTTTAATTGGTGACTTCAGTACTAGAAAATGCTACTCCCCTCCCCAGTATGCTTTAAAGTTATATTGGTTAATGTTCCTACCAAAAAAAAAAAATGTGATTACAACATAATTTATTAATACACGTTGTTTGTTATTGGTTATCTGGAGCCAGAAATACAATTGCATTCTACCTGTAAAGTAGCTGTGTTGGTTCGGTTCCAATTCGATGAGCCCTGGAAATTGAATATTTTTTAAAATGTGTGATTCTGAAAAATAAATAAAATGGTACATTAATAAGTCATCCTGTGTTTTACAGCTGGTGATGCATTAGAGCTCAAAGGTCAGAACAGTGTATTATCCCACTACAACCGTAGGAGGCATTATTTACTTGGGAGCATGGGAACGTCCTGGCTTTGGGGGCATGCAAGGAAGTTATCACTGTAATGCCAGAAGTCATGTGCAGTATGAGTACTGAGTCAGTAACACTACTACAGTATCCACTGTGACCACAGCATTCTTCCTGTACTTTCTGTTGTCTCCTTCCCCTATGACTCATTCATTGTAGGTAAGCAGAGCATCTAGACAGTGACTACAGTGGTACCTCGGGTTACAGACGCTTCAGGTTACATACGCTTCAGGTTACAGACTTCGCTAACCCAGAAACAGTACCTCGGGTTAAGAACTTTGCTTCAGGATGTGAACAGAAATCGTGCTCCGGCGGCGCGGCGGCAGCAGGAGGCCCCATTAGCTAAATAAGAAGGTTCCTTTATCTCCTCTTACCCATAATTATCAACATATCTTCATGGGAAAAATCAGTTATACAAGTACTGCTGCTGCTGCTGCCATAAGCATTATAGCGTCTGGATCTGTTATGCGTGCTATGCAGTGTACCCCAGACGGACCAAAAGTATTGTTGCACACCACCCCAATCTCTGAGCAATGCGAGATTCTGGGGTTCCAGGCACCCACCCAGGGTTGGTGTTTCCTTTTGTGAATGAGGCACAGCAGTGACTGTGGTCCCTGTATTTTACAGTTCATTTACACATACAGTGGTACCTCAGGTAACATACGCTTCAGGTTACAGACTCCGCTGACCCAGAAACAGTACCTTGGGTTAATAACTTTGCTTCAGGATGAGAACAGAAATCGTGCTCCAGCGGCGTGGCGGCAGCAGGAGGCCACATTAGCTAAAGTGGTGTTTCAGGTTAAGAACAGTTTCAGGTTAAGAATGGACCTCTGGAACGAATTAAGTACTTAACCCGAGGTACCACTGTATAGGATGTTCATTTGACTCCTCCAAGGTAGACTGTGCAGCACCTATATTGACTGGTGTGTATGTGTCTTGATTTGTTTGGGCTAGCTGCTGTTTTGGTGTTGGGTCGTATCCATAGCTAACTACGTTTCAAGTGTTATAATTCCAAAGAGCATACTCATAATCTAAAAACAGTTGTTTTAGAAGCCAAATCTTTTTTTTTTCATGGTTTGAATGCCATGTTTGGATCCTTTACAGGCTGCATGTGCCCTGCAGACTAGCTGTTTCCCAACCCTGAGAACCAATATGGTGGTTGTGAACTCTCAAGCCCTTGCTTTCTACAGCCATGTAACTTACCGTATGCCAAATTTTCTAAGGATTACATGCTGGTTAGGATTATAATGGTCAACAAATGGGGTTTATAGAAGAGCAAAGTGAACAAGATGGATAATCCAGAAGTCATCTCAGATTACTAAAGCGTTTCCTCCTGTTAAGTGTTATCCTGTACAATTGCAGTTCTTGACATTTTTGTCAACAGTTCTGACAGGGAAGAAAAACGATGCAGAGAATAAAGTCAGAAACTATGTTAATAAATGACATTTTTTCCCCATGAGCATTTTCAAAGTCAATATTTATCCTTCTCTTAAGGAGTCTCCAAAGGACACAAAGAATCGTTCAAGATTAATGTGGCTGATTTTCCCTGTGGAACTATATTGTAAAAGGGGACAGATCCTTATTCTCCATGTCATATTGAAGCCTACCACTGTACCTTTTAAAATTTGGGGTAGGAGCTGGGTCACTACAGTAAGTGTATGTTCTATAAGAGGCATGAAAAAACAGGCATGCCACTTCAGATTTTAATATAATAGCACAGTTGCAGTCAGGGGTACCAACTTAAATAAAATAGGGGAGGCAAGTAAGCCCTGCCATGCATAATCAGATCACATGACGCGGTGCACAGAGACAATTTGAATGGCAATGCCCTTCAACTTTGGGAGCCTCCGGCCCTCTCAAATGTTTTATTGGCAGGGGGCAAATACCCCTTGGCCCCTAGGAGTTGGCTCCTATGGTTACAATGTTCAAATTTACACTCTTAGATATATTCAAGATTACATTGCAATACAGGCAACCCACAGTTTACACAGGGGTTACGTTCCAAGGCATGGCGTGTTTAAGTGAAATCACGTAAATTTGAAACTCCATTGAAAAATCCTGCAAACACTCCATTCCGCCTCTTTTTGTGATGTTTCCGGGTCACTTCCAGGTTCGGTGTGATGCACGTGCACAGTTTGCGCACATAATTAAATATGCCTAAAATAGTTGCTTCCTGTAATAGTTGCTGCCTGCAATGTAACTTTAAAAGCATTTGAAATGTTTATTAGAGTCGTTTCCTGATGCCATGAATGGGTTGGTATTATCTCATCGTTTGATGGAGGCAGGAGAGCAAAGAACTCTGGGAGGCAGGTGTGGTCACCATAAGAATGCAAGGTTGAAACAGTTGTCGTATGTGCCTTTGGCCTGTATACCTTCTGTATTATTGTCACTCTGTGTAACTAGTTCATAGTGATGCTTCTGAGAAGTCATCTCATTTGCAGGAGGGTGCTAGTCGTGAGAGATTTGGACCTATACTTCTGCCTGCCTATCCAGCATTTCATTGGTAAAAGGTAAAGGGACCTCTGACCATTAGGTCCAGTCGTGACCAACTCTGGGGTTGCAGCGCTAATCTCACTTTATTGGCCGAGGGAGCTGGCGTACAGCTTCCGGGTCATGTGGCCAGCATGACTAAGCCGCTTCTGGCGAACCAGAGCAGTGCACAGAAATGCCGTTTACCTTCCTGCCAGAGCGGTACCTATTTATCTACTTGCACTTTGACGTGCTTTGGAACTGCTAGGTTGGCAGGAGCAGGGACCAAGCAATGGGAGCTCACCCCATCACGGGGATTCGAACCGCCGACCTTCTGATCGGCAAGTCCTAGGCTCTGTGGTTTAACCCACAGTGCCACCCGCGTCCATTTCATTGGTACTTGCTGCCTAATTCAGTAGACAAAAGGCAAAATGTTCCCAAAGCATAGGGAGCTACATAAAGTCTTTCACATATGCACAAATAACCCAAGCACTAAGATCTTCTACTGGGACGCAGTGCCACCACCATTGTCATAGGCTAAGAAGGCAGCAACGAACAAGTCTTGCTCATCTGTGGCACTGTTGTTGCATAACTTTATCCCGAATGAGACTCACCTAGTGCCCACTGCATTATATTTTAAGACACTGGAATTTATTTATGCTTCAGTCACCGTTTCAGTTTGTACTGTTCATTATTTATTTGTTACTTTTAAGTGGCCTATTTTTTTTGTTTTGTTTTGAAGTGCGCCAATGACTGTGGCCTAAATATTATGAAGAGTGGCATACAAATACCTTAAACCAAATGCATGCTCATGCTAAACTTTGGATTTAATTTGTGGTACGTCTGTCAAAGAAGTTGTCAGTCACTGTTTTAATCCCATTTGAACTGAGTGCGCAATATGTGCAGGCACTCACTCCTAAGCATCCTAGACCTATTCAACCCCAACAGCACGGATAGCAGCCCCAATAGCATTCCCCAAGAGCGGAATGGAGTGTTTGCAGGCTTTTTCAATGGAGTTTCAAATTTACGTGATTTCACTTAAACACGCGATGCCTTGGAACGTAACCCCTGTGTAAATTGTGGGTTGCCTGTATTGCAATGTAATCTTGAATATATCTAAGAGTGAACATTTGAACATTGTAACCATAGGAGCCAACTCGGATAGCAACCCCAATAGCAAAGAATTTACTGTGGGGAAGAAAGCTGTGTGGTCCGAAATGTTGTGCTCCCGGCTCTTACAAAAGTGTCAGTAAGCAAGAAAAGGTGTGTATTTTATGCGATTGTTAGGAACCTACTGAGAACTTTAAAAGCGACAATCAAAAACCATAAACAGGCCTCACTTTGTAGTTCATCTCCTTATGGTGTGTGAGATCTATCCACTACCTGCGTTCAGAGTATTTTCTCTGCTGCAGCTAAAATCGGAGGCAGCGGCATTCTACCGCGGGAGCTGGCGTTTAGAAAGAAAGAAAACTTTTGTTGAAAGAGATTTATATAAGCCTCGCCACGTCCTGCTCGTACTAAGTACAACTTAATACTGTTTCATAAGGAGAAGGGGGTGCTGCTGGGCAGGAGGGTATTGAGGAAAGAGTCGTCTCTTTCCGCAGGGTCGCCGGTGGACGAAGGAACAGCCGGCTTTCGACAGGCTAGCCGGAGCGAAACTCCTGCTTTCCTGGAGCCGGTGCTTCGAGGTTCAACTTGGCGACTGAAGACGCCCAAGGCGCGCAGCAGGTAGGCGGCAAAGGTGCGAGGGACAGAGGCAGCGAGAGCCACGTCGCTTTTAAAACTGATCTGTGACAGCCTCTTGCTCTCCTTTCGCGGGTCTCTTTTGGGGTGCGGGTGGGTGCGCGCCCTGAAGAGCTCTCCATCTCCGCGCGCCCTTTCTCATCCTTTGCGCCTTTGGCACAGGTTCCCCGGGCTCTCCTCTTCCTCCGAAGCTGGCTGCCTTGGCGAAAGAGAAGGGGCGGGCGGGGGGGGGGGGGCGATGGGTGGCTTTCTCCTGGAGTTGATTCCGATCATCGTGGGGAGGGGTTGGGTGTGGATTGCTGAACGGACAAAATGCCGAGCCACCCCCACTCGGAAGGAGCCTGCCTGCCTGCCTGCCTACCTACCTACCGTGGGGGCACTCCGCAGCCGTGACGGTGCGCTTTGCAGCCAAGGCGCCCAGAGAAGACCCGTGGCCAGGGAAGGTGGCGAAGGAGCTGGAGCATGTTGGCGCTGCAGCCGCTCCCTCCGGAAGAAGAGCGCTACCGGCAAGTCCTTGCCAATCAGCGGGTAAGACGAACGCTTTGGCCACTTGGCGCAGCCCGAGCCTAACGCTGTAGACGGAGACAGGCAGCCGGGGAAGGAAAACCCTCCTAGAAAAATGCTAGGATCGCAGCCTCGCGCGCTCTGCTGCTGCGCGTAAGCGGCAGCGGATGGAAAGGCTCTCCCGGTAGAGCCGAGCCTGAAGCGATGCCCTTTTACTACTACTGCTTATTTGGGTTTTTCTCTTTTTAAACATCGCGGGTAAGTTTCTCGCACCTTGGAAGCCGCTCTGACCCCAGGTGGGGTCAACACGTAACGGTGAATTTCCTCCACTCTCTCTTAATTATGCCCATAATTATGCTCTTAATTATGTTTTTAATCGGGTGTGGGGATTATAGAATCGGGTGTAGTAGATTATAGAAGCGGGACTTGTTCCAGATTAAATAAAGATGGCCTTTTGCGCTTTCACACGGTGCAACTGAAGCGCGCGCTTAAAAATTAAAGTGTGACTACCACGATGACTGCATGTACTACAAAGACTGGACGCAGCTCCCTGGAAAGTGGACGCTCGCAGGAAGCCAGAGTTTGCTGCCCGGTAATGTTTGGAATGGGCCCGTGAGAGGAGGAAGAAAGCGATTTTCCATGGGAGTTATTTGCCTAGAAACGCGCTTTCCCCTAGCCAATCTCTAATTTGAAGCGAGAGGTTACCGTGCCAGTCGCTGGAGCCATTATTTATCTTGACTCTAGGTATAAACGCCAAACGCTTGCAAACTAAACAAATATTAATTAATCAGTAGCCTAACGGGAAGTGGTTTCTCTGCGTCGTCCTGTATTTATCCCTAGTTGGTGCGTCTGCCAGTCCATCTAAACACACACACACTCGAGCACACGGGTAGGAGGCCTTTGGGGCGCGTTTAAGTATCCAGAAATGACACGGGGCGTTGGTGTAGCCGGCTAGAAGCCGCGATTGGTTCCCGATTCCCCCTCCGTCCTTTCGCTTCTCGTGGGCAGGCAAGTGGCCGCGCGTCTTTTGGTGGTGCTGAAACCAGCAAGCCACCAAGAGGTCCAGTTATTAGCTAAATCAGCAGGGCAGGTCGCTGTTGGAAAGCTGTGGTCGCTAGGTATGTCTGTCCTGCTACAGCAGTTGCAAACATGGATAGCCTGGTCTGTGAAAAGCGTGGGGGGGGGGGAATACGAAACAAACTGATTTTTTACTGTGTCACGGTGAAGTCTCTGGACAAAGTAGCTCCTGCAACAGGTTTGCGCGTTGCGCCCCGGGCTGCGCGGGAGCTGCTGGGAGTGCCTTAGGAAAAGGGGACGGGTTTTAAGGAGAATTTTGTTTACTAGTTTGCTGGTTGTAGACAGGAGCCGTGGTGTCTGGACTCTTCCTTTCTTCAGTGGGACAAAGAGATCAGAACAAAACCGATCTGTCACCTGAGTTAGTTTTTGCTCGTTCTTCCTCTCCAATTCCCTTAATTCTTTGGGAGGACTGATCCGCTGAGATACTTGGCTTTTCTTTTGTAGCGTTGTCTTTCCAAAATCGGCCTTTTCTCTCCGAAACCTTCACCGGCAGTGAGTGTGGATCCAGGGTTTAACAAAGCAAAGGGGTTATCGTGTTCCCTATTTCCGTAGCGCCTTCAGAATACAAAGTGATTTATGTAAGTCTTGTGTCAGTCCGCTTTTTCTTCTCTCTTTCCAATAGAGAGTCAGCAACACGGGTAATTCCTAATTTCCTAAGAGGTGAACAGTTACACGTAGCAAAGCAAACTAAAGCGGAAAATGGGTGAGTTTGTTAGCGCTTGTTTTCACGCAGCCGCTTATGTCCAATTAAGTTGGCAACAGATAGTTCCCGATCAATACCTTAAACCTCATAGGTTGGAAAGGACCTGCAAAGCACCACCTGGTTTTGACATTTAACTGCTTCCAATCACAGTACACTAGTCTAACAGCAATGCTTAAAAGCACTCCTGAACCACAAAGGACCTTAAAGAAATATGGTACAATGCAGGCTTCTTCAGTTCCACAGAGTTTGGTGAGGTTTGCACTTAAGTAAGGGATAAATCCTATTCAGTTACATGGGAGTAAGTTCCACTGATCTCAATGGCATTTTCTTTTGAGGAGACAAGTATAAGCTTGCACGGAAAGTATGCTCAGGCCACATACTTACTGTCGCTTCCCTGCATTTGACTGAAGTTTTAGGTCCTCATACAAACAAGTGGTTTCTTCAGATACCCAAATAACGCTTGGATCCACAACTCTTCAAACAATCTGGTCCAACCAACTTCAGTGACAATGAATCTTCATCAAATCTAAACAGCGTTATGAGTTTGTGGGTGCCAGACTCCTATAGTCCTAGCAAGTGTTAAAGGCTAATCAAGGCAGGCTAGCTTCCTGATGAGGTAATCGCCTGGGTGATCCAGCCATTGAGACAACAGAGGAAAGGGGGCTCTGTGTCAGATGGCAACTGGGTAGGGGCCCTTCTTCAACTTTTAGTCAGAAGGACAAAGCCTGAGTTGGAGGGCAGAGTTTGCTGTGATGTGACCTAGAGGAAAAAGCTGCAGGTTGGAAAGGCAGAGAGAATCTCAGCTGATTTCTGCTTGAATCCAAGGTTGCAGCTATGGGAGGAACAAGACCCTTTTGGGTGCTAATGTTGTCAGCCCCTCCATCATTGGCTCAGGTTGTATATACAGTGGTACTTCGGGTAACTCGTTCCAGAGGTCTGTTCTTAACCTGGAACTGTTCTTAACCTGAAGCACCACTTTAGCTAATGGGGCCTCCCGCTGCCACCAGAGCACGATTTCTGTTCTCATCCTGAAGCAAAGTTCTTAACCCGAGGTACTATTTCTGAGTTAGCGGAGCCTGTAACCTGAAGCATATGTAACCCGACGTACCACTGTATGTGTAAATGAACTGTAAAATACAGAGACCACAGTCACTGCTGTGCCTCATTCACAAAAGGAAACACCAACCCTGGGTGAGTGCCTGGAAC